CTCGCCAAGTCCATACTCATCGTCTGATGTTTGAGATATCCGGCACAGCCTCATCCGTTAAAGTTGCCAGGCTTCCCTGGACGACGCGGTAGGTTATAAAAGCAAAGCGTACCTTCTTGATCTCTCTTTAGGGCGAATAAATCTGGCATCTCCGCAAAAATTCCTGGATCATCTCCGTGGATCATCTTCAGCTGCTTGCGCTTCAGCACCTTAGCCTTTTCGCGAAGCATTTTCTTCTTTTTCCTGCAAGAAAAAAATTTGGTGTGGTATCAACAGAAATTAAGTAAAACTTTATTTTTATAGCCTGACTCCTTAGAACGATCACTTACTTCTTCAATTCGGATTTCTCCTCGGCACTGGCGCGCGCGATCTCAGCTTCGATGTTGGCCAATTCCTGATCTTCTAGGTCTTCGGCAGATAACGGTTGTGGTTCAGTAGCTTCCATGTCCACATCCGCATCTTCAGCGGCATGCACCATGTCCAACATCTTCTTTCGCCACTTGAGCAGGATGCGCAGTTCGCGTGGACCGCAGAGTTTAATGTCCTTGAGGCATTCTTGACCTAAAATGGGGATGCTGGAAGGAAAACGGACAACACCTCGTCCGTCGTTTCCGGTGCTTCGCTCCACTTCGGTTGGTCGAGCTTGATGCTGCTCGTTTGAGCAAGCAGATCCAGGGCGGAAGAGGAGTGAACGAACTGCAAAACTCTTATAAGACCAGATGGTTACAGTCGCTTCGCGACTGCAACCATCTGGCCTTCGGGCTACCCTACATGTCCCACTCCACCACATCCTTTCCCACCTCCATCAATACCCCCCATGGCTGAAATCCCCTTCAAAAACTACCTAAATACCTTCCCGATGGCTTTAGATGATTTCATAATTAATTAACATAATTAAAAAGTATTAAAAAGTATTAAAGTAACTTAAAAAAGCTATCTGGGCGCGGGAAGGGGCCTGGGGAAGAGGGGCGAAGAGAAAGGGGGCGTGGCCTCCCGGGAGAGGGGCCCCCCCACTGATTTTATTAAGGCGCCACTTTCAAAGTTAATTTTAATAATTTAAACTAAAACTTTTTTATAATTTTTTTATCAGTTTGGGGGTTTCTGACCATGCTCTATCCGAATCCGAAGAGAGCTAAGCTCTAGCTTCTTTCCCCTTCGAGTTGAATTCGGCTTCACACGGACGGACAGACAGACGGACGGAGACCACAGCAAAATTATTATAGTTGATAAAAAGATGCAATCTACCGTAGTGGCATCAATAGTCTTATGCAGGGTCAGTCCATCGCTTTCAGCATAGCCCTCGGCACGCGCCTTTTTCGTCTTCTTGTTCAAAAGGAGAGCTTGGCTGAAATGATCATTTTTACAGAAAAGTCCTGGATTTATCACCTGTTGGGCTTGGCGGGGTCCAAGTTCGGTTCGAGGAACACCTTCTTCACATTCAGCAAATCGGGATCTACTTTGTCGGGCTTCGAGTACTTCTCGCAGACAACAAAGATTTCGGCAGATTCCAAACGCGAAGCAGCCGGTTTCCAAACATGCACCTGAAACGAAAAACTACATTGACCCATAAAGCCATACCTTCTTGAACAATTTCTCGAAGGTCGTAATCAAATGATGGTAGTCGTTGCTGCGGAAAACCTTTGTGACAAAGGTCCCGTTTCGCCGCAGAATCTGTGTTGCCATCTTCAAGGCCATCAGCGTCAGACAATTTTGTTGGAAGGCGTCGTGCGTCCAGTTCATACCGACGTTTGGCGCACCATCGTGCAACACGGTGTCACACTAAAATTTTTATCCAAAAAAGGAAAACTCCAACCTGAAAACCCTTCAGCTCTTTGCGGATGGCCTGTCGAGTCGATTCCTCGGTGATGTCTCCTTGCAAAGCGATGCATCCGTGGATTGGTTTAATCGGCACAAGATCCACGCCTAAAGTTTTTGACGTCAGTATTCCGCCTAACGCAACTAACCGATGCAAATGCTGGAGACAGGCATGTTCTGTTTCGCCACCTGCATCCATCCTCCCGGTGCAGCACATAGATCGACGACTGCTTTGGCAGATTGAAGAAACTCGAAGCGCTTGTTCAGCTGGATCAACTTGAAGGCGGCACGTGAGCGGTATCCGGCCTCTTTGGCAAGATGGTAGAACTTATCACGGCGCTGCTTTCCGATTTTCACCTTTTTACCCATTTTCTAAAATAAAGTTCTTCGCGAGTGGGGCAAGTGAGCAGGGAAATCGTGGTTTGGAAAAGTCATGGTTGAAGATAAACTGTGCCTGATATGACGGCAGAAAGAAGGCAGGCAATAGACTACAAAACATTTATTCAAAACCAGATAAAAATAACAATTGGATAACAGAATCATGAAAGGAAGGAGATCATTTGTCGAATTCGGCTCGTGCATTCCTCTCGCCCAAAGAATTCGTAAAGCTCAGCGATCGGCGGGCCCGTGGCATGGCCGGTGATGGAAATTCTAGGTACAGTTCTTTTTCGACGAGGACAACATATACCTCAAAATCCCGTATATTTTCCTGTGGTTGCTCCCAAAGCGATCTGCCAGGTCGCGCAACGTCTTGAGGTTTTCTGGCTCGGCAAGTAGAAGCACCGCTTCCAAGATTTCCTTGGCCTCATAGGCGGGATACTTACAGGTTATCTAAGGGGCTATTTTTCCGGTGAGAATCTCTTACCGCGCTGGCATCAACTGGGCGCGTAAAGAAGAAGGCGTACTGCGGAGTGGTGAGCTCGGCCAGAGAATGGAAGCGCTCCTCCCGCTCTCGCAGAAATCGGATAATCTTCTCCATGTAGACCGGGTCGTCGCAAACGCTCTCACAGCCAGGCAAGTCATTTGCGACGCGATCACGGATCAATGGGATCAACTAAAAATAAAAAAGTTAAGACTAAGCGAGAGCCCATCTACCTGACTAATTGGAGAATTCTGGAACGCGAGACGGCCGTAGTGCTCAAGGCTGCTGGGATCTACCTATATAAAATTACTTCAAAACAGATGGAAAAAACTAAGCAACCTGTAAATTACGTTTCCCAATCAGCGAAGCATCAAATGATGTCACCATTTCTTCCAAGGTATATAGATGGTTGGAGTCGAAATTTTTGATTCCGCTGCCATTGCGAATCTAGGATGGCCGAGTTAACATGCCTGTTTCCGGCTTACCAGTAGATTCAGCACAGCCACGGGCAGAAAGCCCTTCTCTTTATGATAGTAATCGACGAAGGCGTCGGCATGTCTCTTCGAGAGCTTTTGTTTTCCATCTCTTGTCAACAGAGGCAAATGCATAAAGACGGGTGGCTCCCATCCGAATGTTCTAGAAACAACAGCGTTCTTAAAACCCAATTTCAATCAAACCCACTTGTACAAAAGCACGTGTTTGCCAGTACTAGATAACCATTCCATGCCGCGAATCACGTGCGAGATTTTCATCAACCTAAAATGGAAGAATCACAGGGTCGAGCAATCTTCTCACCGATCATCAATGATATTCGCAAAGTGATAGGTCGGGTACCCGTCCGCTTTCACCAGGATCGGGTCAGATTCATCAAGCGTCTGCGAAATGTCGCCAAAAACACGATCCTAAAGCCAAAATAGAGCAACAAATATAAGGGACAACCTTGAACGCGACATCCTGCAGATCCAACTTGAACCGAACTACGAATTTCTCGCCCGTACGACTTCGTTGCATTGACTAATCAATAATAAAGAAGAAGATTTGGCTGCTAACCTCTTCTTGGCTGAGCAACCTGCACCGCTTGTCATACTTCGGTACTTGATTCGTGCGAGCAGCCTCTTTCCGAAGCAATTCAAGTCTCTGAAGCCATTATCGTCCGCGACAAAGGATTCCAACCTCCGAACTGCAGAAACATCGGTAACCATGACCGCTTTCTATCAATCGGTGCGAGTACTCCTCATATATGCGAAGTCGTTGGGATTGGAGATAGGGCCCGTAAGCGCCGCCTTGCTCAGAACCCTCGTCTGGCATTAGTCCGTAGTGTGTCAATATACGGTTGATCTAAACAGGATCGACCGCCAAGATACAATCCAAACCGAGTCCGTACTGCCGGGGACCAGCCTGGTTTGATCAGTGTCCTCGATTCGAAGGATAAAGGAGCCTAAACAATGGGTTTCTTTTCAAAACCGCTCGAACCATTATGCGACTTGGCGAAGAGGTAATTGAAAAGCGCTGTCCGCAATCCACCAATATGTAGCTGACCGGTCGGTGATGGGGCAAAACGAACCTGAAAGTTATACTATAATACCTAGCCCATACTCACCCTCGTATCAGCACACGAAAAGCGTTGGCAAGCGCGGAGAGTATTTTGTATAAGCATTGCTGCGGATGGACATAGGTACCTAAAAACTAGCACCATCAAAAAAAGTTGAAAAACCAAGTAACTAAGAAGGAAACCTATTTAGCAAAAAAAAGGTTTACAATTTAACAATTTATTGGTTCCTTCGGCTTCGCGTCGTGCTTCTTGCTCCAATAACCGAAGACGCGGTTCCGCCTGGCGCCTCCGTTGGCTGTGAAGACGTGGCCCTCAGCAGCCAGGGCGCGAGTAATAGCCGCAATATTCGTCACATCATCAATGCCACTGTGCTGTCTGCCCTAAACACAACTATCGAAATCGAACCCAAAACGGACCGTGTGCGTAAGGCTAAGTTCTTTCAGCAAATGCTTCATTCCCTGTGCGAAATGGCCTCGGTGGTCGCAAAATGACTTTTTCACGTTTATCCACTCAGCGAAGTAGCTGAAAAGATCGTTGCAAAAAGAACGGAACACACCAAAAGACATTAAAAAGGATAGAACCAACCTTGGAGTGATGATGTTTTTATGAGCAGCTTCTCGTGGTAGCTGCAATTGAAGATCCCAATCACCACAAGTGACGAAGATAAATCTGAAAAGAACACTTTTCGATGGGATAGCTTCAGGCTCTGTTTCTTTAGAGCAATCCCGCAGGTCCGTCAAAGGTAAGCTTTCTAACCTGGAATCAATAATCCTTTGATTTTGCATCCATTCATCAAATTTAGAAAGAACTGCGGGAAGTGTTGGCTGGCCATCGACCATCTCCTGAAGGAATTGTTGATTGCTGAAAGTGCCGCAACCTGAATAATCCCGGTCAAGCGCGTGCAAAACGTTGACAATCGTGGATGAATGGTTGGTGAGACATACATGTGAAATCGAGATACCTAAAATAAATTGCAATAATAACGAAAAACGCACCTCATCGAATGTTTTTCCGTCTAATTGGATCACCGGGAATTCAATGATTTCCTGACATGGCTCCAAAGGTCTATTTTCGTCACAGGTTGCTTCGAAATCAAGGACAAGAAAGTTGTCAAATTCTTGAACAGGGAATGGCTGAAGGCCCGATGTTGTTGGAGTCATCCTAAAAACAGGTTTGTAGCTAAATAATGTTGTACTTGAAAGCTGTGTTGATAGGATGTGCCGGGTTGAAGTTGTTGTTTCTTTTGGCGGGCTGTTTTCGACGCGAAGACGCCTAATGCAAGCTTATAGTCCAGAATAAAGACTTACCCAGCAGCGTGACACCGAGACCGGCAGGATGACTCTCCTGGATAGCATAGGACAATCCTAAAGAGCGTTTTGTTGACGCGAATGAAGCAAAAAAGATGCAGGTGAAAACGAGCGTACTAATCGAAATCAAGGTAAATGTGCACAAAGACACAATTCATAATGCGTAAACTTCATAATTAATTTTTATCACTGATGAGATCGAGAAAGCACAATTTTTGCCACGTGAAAGGTATCCGTATTCGCTGAGCCAGAAAAATCACATAACCGGTCGAAGACATCTATGACACTGTCTTGGCTGGGGAAACCCTAGAAGGTTCATTTCAATAAAAAAATTGAATGATTACCGCCATTCTTGGCGACACATTGGGCAGAGTGGGCGCGCAGTCGTTTGCGAGATTGTCCACTTGGTGATGCAGTGGGAGTGGAAAGGATGCCGACACATCCCGACTACCTAAAGGAGACGTATGAGAGGAGCAACATCGCAACCCGGAAAAGATCAACAACCGTTGGCCCGGAAATCTTTACAGGTTGCGACTCGAACCACTTACCAATGGGCAGTCATCGCCTGGCATCTTGCAATTGACACAGCATGCTTCGAATGCCATTTGGCAGATGCCGCAAGTATCGTCCCCACCCTGACGCCATTTCCATTCAGCCGCCACCTGAACCAAGTAAGATCCGGAATATTGCTCAAAGCCCACATGCAAGGCCTTCACTGTGATTCCAAGTCGCGTAGAAGTTGGAAGTTCCACCGGAGCCGGGAGGCTGACAAGTGGCGAATTCTGAACAGATTATTTGGGCGAAATTAATTTAAAACCTCGTCGTTCGTGGAATCCCTGGATCGAGCCGAGCCGAAAAGGTCGAAATTGTGCTTGGACCCTAAATTTTGCCGATGTGCGAATTGATTCGCGATTACCAACTGGCTTCGGGCTGCTATCTGATGGACTGAGAGCTGGAGTGCTTCCCGTGAACTAAAAAGACTATTCATAGAGTTTCATACATTTACCATGTGCTTCCCAACACTTTCGCTACTTGCGCCATCATTCGAATCGTCGCGGTTAGCAGCTGCCTAAGAAAGGAAACCTGCGAACGAAACAAATTCGATACGAATCGTTCCTCAATGGCAGCCTCGATAACATCGGACATTAAAACGTCGTCGTCACTGAGCTCATTGTCCAGAGTGAGATTGCTGGTTTCGGCATTGTCAGATTCGTCCATCGTATGCCTAAAATTCGGTTAGCACGGACATATGACAGCAGAGCGTGTAGCGAAATTTCTGCGATATGTTCAAGAATGCAACTCAGTTTCACAAAACAAAATATATTTCGAAGTTTTATTCAGTCATTCTGTTGCCTTCGGTTCTTCTTTCACCCTGGCCATCTGTGCTTTCAATAACACCTAAAATTTGTTTCGAAATATTGCAAAGATCTACCTGAATCACTTGCTCTGGAAAACGTCGTTTTTCGCGAGCGATGCACAAGCCGCAAAATAAATGCCCAAAATGAACGGAGCACCCCTGTGGACGAGGAATTTGATAGCGTACTCAAAGAGGGACACACCTTGTCAAAGCAGACGGGCTGTGAGCAGAGATGACAGGGGGACCCAAGAACCAAAAAATCGGACAGCAGAGGTTTGCGACCTAAATGCGAGAGGTTGAAATGTTTCAAGAAAATGGTAAGGTACCTTTGACTTTTGGGCGCGGGGTGAACGGATCGCGCATGAAATAGACGGGTGCAGGATAACTAAATACTTTTGGAAAAAATTTTAACACGTACTAGCCATCAATTGTTTTTAACTCCGAAAATAGGCATTTCTCCGCGTGATGACAAATCGAACATTCGAAGGGCACGTACGGGTCGATGAGGAGCGGGTCTTCGTCCGGCAGAGCTGTGGCGCTAAAAATAATTATTCGCTAGCATCATAAGCAGTGGATCGTGAGTATAATCCTAAAGGCCCGGCACAACTCTCTCGATCAAAGCTTACAAATGGCGTTCGAATCGTACCTGTGCTCTGCATTTACGGGCTCCTCCGACGTTGAAGGCTGTTCTGTTTTGATTTCCTTGGCCAAAGGTTCGCTTTCGCTCATTTCTACACCCATATTGACTGTAATCCATTGTGTCTAGTAGTTATGGCTGTCTCGCACCAAGGCGCTCTTTTGTGTCGTGTTCCAAAAAATTTATTCATAATGCACATGAGGACCCTTACACCCATTGAACGAAGAATTGGATACATAAATAATGCTAAGGCAGAAAAGTGAAGGCCAAAAAGATCAGAAATTTCACAATTACCAGTGAGAAAAGTAGGTTGGAAAAAATTTGGTTATTCCTAAAGCTCATCGTTGCCGTCTTCTACGGGCTCCGGAGGAGGTTCTGTTGTAACTGAAAAATAGAAATGTACTCGAAGCTGCTAGGAATAAACATTATTTCCAGGATCGTTCCCCTTCACCAACAGTCATAGTTTGAGGGATTATCGTTAGAAATTTTCAATCACCGCCAGACCCAGGGAAGGTGCCCAGGAAATAAAAAATTACCAAACGAAAAGCCCACTATTACAGCTCAAAATGGTTTTTGAGTTGTTCTGGGACCGCGTCGGGGTTGATATAAAGCTCGATGATGACGTAGATAACAATCGTTGCGCCGAGGAGGAGAAGAAGTAGAGGAGATGGGCGGCTAATGATGAGCATTGTGGCCAGGAAGAGACCACCGAGGCTCACCAGCCGCAGTAGCAGGTTAGGGCGGATCAGCGGTTGTTGGGGTGGCGCTGAATTTGGGAGTGTCTGGTGTCAGGAACAAAGGGGACAGTAGTGGGGTAAGGGTGCAGGGTTTTATAAGAATATTTTTGAGGCTTAGATATGTTTATACCTAGTATATTCAGCTCGCACTCCTTGGTGACATCGTTTTTCTTGTACCCGTCCGCACAATCGCACTTGTAGCTGCCGATGTCGTTGATGCAACTAAATACATCGTTCGGAGGCAGAATAAACCTCGACTTACACTTCATTAGCCTTGGTGCAAGCATGAAGTTCGGGTTTAGCACATTCGTCCACATCTGTAAAATGTCAAGAAGCGCAGAATGAATCTTACCAACACAAGCGTTCTTCGAATCACGCTCAAAACCGACCCGGCATTCGGTGCACTCTGTCGCTAACGGCCCTGTGCATCCGTTACAACCACCGTAGCATTCTGAAATTGGATAACGCTTTTTTAGTAGTCGACCGCTTCTTACCAGCGCAATCCACTCGATTCTCTTCCTTCTCCTTGAAGTAATAATTATTCTCGCATTGTCGACAGAGTAACCCTGCATAGCCATTGTCACAGGCGCACTTGCCAGTCCCTGCGCGTGTTCCATCTCCCTAAAATTTGACATAGAAGGCCAATAGCAAACCCACATCGCATTTTCCATGACCGAAACAGGCAGCGGCTCCCTCAGAAATGCCAGGACAGGATTCACAATTCTTGCCGTATTTCCTGTAAGAATCAAATTCAGAGGACTTCCAAACTCTCACCCTTTAGGGCAGCAAACTTTCAGCTCGTTTACACACAACCAGTCACGAATCGGGGTTTCCTAAACAAATATTTTTAGCTAGCCACATACACTTACCTGATTCTTATAGTACCACTTCTCCACGAGCTCTTCGCTCTCCTCCATCAAATGAGCGCACTGAAATTTCGAATTGAATAGCGAAGGTAAAAGGCAGTACCTTGAATTCGAGGTCTTTCACACTGATATAGCTGTCGGTAGAAGCAAGGGTGGACTTTTTACAAACTCCTTCCAAAGCCTCGATCAAACGCGTCTCACTAGAATTGAAAAATTTCCTTTCGTATCGAAAGACGCACCTCGTTGCATATTTGCCGAGGTTCTTCTCTTCCCAAGCTGTGTCTCCGCCAGCGAAATGGTTTCGCTCGGTGATTTTGAGTCCCTGAAAGGAACGATAGGTCGAAGACAATCAACTAGGCCAACCTTCACGACCGTTTCCGTTAAAAAGTCGCATGTTAAACATTGTGGACTCGATAGGACAGCTGAAAGGAGCTGAAGTAGTGCGAGGATCAGCCAGCCTCGCCTGGGTAACATCACCGCATGCCTAAAATTACCATGATTAACGATGGCGCAAGAAAACAAAGCAAGGTCGATTTGAAAACCAAACAAAGGTTGGAATGTGCTAATGAAAAGATCATCGCTTTTAGCGTTTTATACGGGTAAAAGCAGTTTTCTGAGGGCGAGCATTGAAAATCGATAAAAGGAGATGGTCAGGGCGGTCCATAGGTAGAGAGGAGTATTTGCGTTACGCAGACGTAGACTAACAGACCGATCGCCCAAGGCTATAAGACTGCGTTTCTTTGAAGCAAACAAGAGAGAGACTCCATGATGCTTGCTGAAATGACCGTCGAAAAGCTGAACTTGGGACAAGCGCGCTTCAAGCGTTGCAATAAGGGTAGACTAGCAAGCTTGGCTTATCTTTATGTGCGCGGGGCAGAGACGCAGAGCAGTCCAGCTGAAAGAAGCGAGCTAGCATCGACAGTTCTACACTGGTGGACATAATTATAGCCTCAGTGAAAATTTTCCGAAAATCTCGATTTCTGGCGGTGTCCATTGAAAGCGTTCTATAAAGGAAAGTAGCGGTATTCTATCACAATTTCATACCACAAACCCTTTTTGTGATTCTCTGGACAAAAATTTTTTTAGGAATTTTTTCCCAAAAAAGCACTTTGAAAAAGGGACATAATTATAGCCTCACTTGGGTAACATTTAAATAAAAAATTAAATAATCGCGCAAATCAATAAGAAACAATTCCAATAATGTTTGGCTACACCATTTCATGTAATTTGATAGGGGGGAGATGCCTCTCCATGCCAGAATACAGCCGGGCGATCGACTTTTTGCTTGACCGGATGCGAGGTGGAGACAATCCGCAGTTACGACGTGATATTCTTTTCTTCTGCTTAGATTTTGAATACCGGGGAGCTTTGAACATGGCCAATCACGTTACAGTCAATAAAATTACCCGGCGACGCTAAAAAAACCCACTTTTAAGGGGCTGGTCCGACTCTGGGGCCCATTTGCCTCGAAGAATTAAGGCTTCATCTTACTCTTAAATCGGATTCTGATCCTGATTGATCTGACTCATGATCTGCCCGTTTGGAAGATCAGTTCTTCACGAGCAGGAAGGAAATGATGCTTGATCTTGACTTACAGGAACCATGGCAATAATTTTCAATTGTTCAACTCAAGAAACAGCACATTTCCAATCGAAATCAGGATCAGAATCCGATTTAAGAGTAAGATGAAGCCTTAATTCTTCGAGGCAAATGGGCCCCAGAGTCGGACCAGCCCCTTAAAAGTGGGTTTTTTTAGCGTCGCCGGGTAATTTTATTGACTGTAACGTGATTGGCCATGTTCAAAGCTCCCCGGTATTCAAAATCTAAGCAGAAGAAAAGAATATCACGTCGTAACTGCGGATTGTCTCCACCTCGCATCCGGTCAAGCAAAAAGTCGATCGCCCGGCTGTATTCTGGCATGGAGAGGCATCTCCCCCTATCAAATTACATGAAATGGTGTAGCCAAACATTATTGGAATTGTTTCTTATTGATTTGCGCGATTATTTAATTTTTTATTTAAATGTTACCCAAGTGAGGCTATAATTATGTCCCTTTTTCAAAGTGCTTTTTTGGGAAAAAATTCCTAAAAAAATTTTTGTCCAGAGAATCACAAAAAGGGTTTGTGGTATGAAATTGTGATAGAATACCGCTACTTTCCTTTATAGAACGCTTTCAATGGACACCGCCAGAAATCGAGATTTTCGAAAAATTTTCACTGAGGCTATAATTATGTCCACCAGTGTACGAAGAATGTGGATTCTTCGTCCAAAATGTGAAAAAACGCCATTGTAACATAGCCAGAGTAATAGTCGTGAAAAATTGAGAAATTTGAAAATCCGGGCAGCGGGGCCCATCTGGTCGCCATGGTAACCGATTGACAAGCAAATGGCAAGGGTTTGGCCCAGTCAAGGTAATTTGTTGCAATGAAGGTCAGCAAGTCAAAAATTCTCGTCCTTGGCCCGCAAAAGGTAGGCTCGGACAAGGTGTGGAGAGCCCGTTTAGGCCGGAAAAACCACCATCTCTAACTACCTGGCCGACTCGCTGGAGAGTCAATATGGTTACCGGCCAACGAAAGGTAGGCACCGAGTCGGAAAAACCCAAATTTTTAGGTGTGCGCATCGTCGAGTTCGAGAGCAATGATCTTGAGCTGAAGGGGCAGAAGATCGGTAGGGGCTTAGTTTTTTTTATACTAAAGTCCTTAGACGCCGATGTCGAGCTCTGGGATTGCTCAGGCGATGAGAAATATAACAAATGCTGGCCGGCGCTTGGAGATGGGACACATGGCGTGATTCTGGTGGCGAGTCCGGAACGGCACACTGGCGATGATCTTATTCCGTGGTTAGTGAGCCCGTAGAAATCGAAAAACGTATCCGATATGCATCACCCACCTCTAGGGAACGGGAATTTATCGAGCGCGGTGATATTCCGATGAACCGCGTGCTGTTGGTGTTACTGGATACTGATCAGACCGCGACCAACCACTCGGCCATTTCCGGTGAGTATTCAGAGGACCAGGGCATGTCTTATTTCTGCTATCATAGAATCTGTAGGAAAGTTTACAAGGAAATATTTGCAGAATTTCGCGTTCCATCCTCGCTCAACGGGGTCCATTGCGTTGCTGCCTCGCTGCCAAAAGATGGAGACACGCTGCGCCTCGAATTCAACTCATTCCTTGTCGCCGTCATATCCCAAGTCCACGACAAATAAAATGCCTTGTATCCCATATCAGCAGATAATAAGTGAATGATTTATTCGGGCACAGTACATCAAGACATTAAAGGGCGAGGGGGGCTGTCGGCTTGACGGGCGCACATGTCATTGTAAATCTCTGGGGGCGGGACTTCACTTGACGGTCATCGTCGTCATCGGCTTTCCATTAAACACCTTGGTCAGGCTGGTCACTTCAGCGGCCACCGAGTCAATCTAAATGCACCATGTGTCTCTCTATCCTTTCGTGAAATTCTGCCTGAATTCGCTAATTACCTGCAGAGTGAGGTCCCGCATCTGCCGGCTGATCGCCTCGAACCCCAGCGGCTTCTCGACAATCGGCTAAAATTTTTGGGGGGAATTTTGTCAGGGTGAGGATTTCCGAAATATGACATTAGCAGCGTACCACTTTCTTAGCGGCGTCCTCGCCCGCGTATTCCGTATCGATGACGTCGAGCTCACGAACCGTCTGCTTGTAGGGGCCACGACTGAAAAGAGGCACGAATACGAACCGCAATCTGATCGAAGATAACCAAGCAAAGCCTTACTCGCTGTGTCCGTGGATCCGTTGCGTGTGGCCGTGCGAACGTGCCGACGAAGGCGTCTGGCTGTAGCGAGAAATGTCTTTCATTAATCGCTGCCCGCACTCTACCATGAGGGCTGGATGGTGATCGACTGGCCGGAGCTGCTCATCGACGTTGCCGTGGTGGGACAGGGCGGAGCGGCGCCGGCACGCATCGGACATTCGTCACGAAAGCTGGAAAAAAGCGGAATATTTCAAGGGCTTCGAGTAGCCGTCTACCATCCAATGATTAGCTGCTGGAAGGGATCGCCATATTCGGGGAGGGCAGTCCCATTAATCGGGCGACTGTCCGTGAAGGACCAAGTCCTGATCTGGGCACCGGAAGCTCCAACGTACGAGGCGTACATCTGAAGCGGGGTCTTTTATGGTGATTCCGGGAAGTTGTCTTCAGAAAAGACTTAAAAAGGGATCGGCTTACCAGCTGCTGCTGCGATTGGCGGGGATCCGCCTGCTCGACGGCTCCCTTCGGCAGCGGCGGCGAGCTGGTGAAGATGCGCTGCTCGGTGGGGATCGCCAAGTCTTCTTTCGACTGAAAAAAAGCGGCTTGATCCACTTCGCCCTGGAGAGGCGTACCTTTGCTTTCCTGGATGCCGAAGGCGTGGTATTTGACGAGGTGTTCGGGGTGCTGCCCTTTGGCCCGACTTTCTTCGGCTTCTTGTTCTCGCCATCCTGCTCTCTCTTCTTCTTCTGCTTCTCTCCCAGCAAATCCTCCAGCGTCACCGAATTCGTCTGGGTATTCTGGGGGCGGAGACGCTTCTTCCGGTCGCGAAGTCGACGCGAATCTTCCGGGAATGACTCTTGCATTTTCTTGTACGATTGCTGAAAGATATAACTCATGTATTTGCGAACTTCTTCTCAACCTCGAATTCAAAGTCGACGGCGGTGATGAGATCAGGGTCGACTCGTGTGTGATCTTCTTGCGTCGGATCCATCGCCGGCTCCTAAAGCAAATATTGCAATTGCTGCATGCCGATTAAAGCCTCTACCTTTTCCTTGACGAGCTCGACGCCCTTTGCCTTCTTCTGACCGCCCTCCTCCAGTGTCTTCTTCTTTTTGCCCTTCGAACTGCTTGTCGACGTCTTTGGTTTTTTGTCTCGCTCGGAGCCTTTCTAAAAACGATCAATGAGTTCGTTCTCTCAATTCGATACCTTCATCACTGGTCCCTTCTTCTGCTTGTCTTCCGGGCCAGCATCCTTTTTCTTTCCTTCCTTTCGCTTCGACTTTTCGGCGGCCAACAGCCCGGCCGAATTGCTGTGGGTGACGTCTTTGTTCTTTGGCAAGGCACGTTGACCAGCCGGAGATGGCGACTGTAATATTCTGTTAATTGAAAGCTGCTTCCGTACCAGCGTCTTCGTCTTCTTGGTTTTCGACGTCGACGAGCCGGAGGTTCGTTTGCGGGGCGCCGTCTTCGGGGCGGGGGCGGGCTTGTTCTGGCTGATGAGCTTCTTCTGCTCAACAACGCGAGTACCGCTCGGGACTTTGCCTGGCGGTCCGCCCTTCTGAAATCAGGGGATATTAAGAAAAATCGAACGGAAAAAGCACCTTTTGAAGCGAAGTAGCAGCGGGGGCCTTCGGGTTCGCCTTCGCATTCTTGGCGACCGCAGCTGTGCCCGTCTGGCCCTTCTTCTTTTTGCACTTGCCCGTGCACATTCTGCAGCGAAATAGTACATTTTTGTGACAGCATTTAATTCATACCTTTAGTTGGCTGCTAGTTGAGTCGAGTAGTAAATCAAGTCGAGGCGACCGAATTGGGAAGCGGATACGAAAAGTTATGCAGCGCTGTGATCCGTAGGGTTTTATACGGAGGAAAAGCTATTCAAATTATTCGCATATCCGGCGCCTGGGCCGAACAACAAATTTGTTAGGTTCACTTAGCTGTTTTTAACGTTTCGTTAATTTTCGCGATTGTTGTTTCATCATGAACGTTATTTTTTCTGCTAACCGCAATCGTTGTCAGCATTCTTTGGCTCGTTTTTTAGTTTAATGATAAGTGATTTATTTATAGGCCCGTTAGTAGCAATCATTAAATTATGCCAGTTCAATAAAAGCAGGCTCTGGCCACGATCAAAATGAGCGATAAATATAGCATCGGCATTGAAACGGAAGAAGCAGGGTTGGGCATAATGGGATAGAAGAAATCGGAGGGAAGTCGAAGGTCGATGTGGGGGATTGCAGCAAATTTGTAGGAGACCGCTGAAAGAAATCAAATGAACACTCGAAAACGTATTTTTGCGTTTTTTGTGTAGTGCCCACCTTTCGTCACATCTTTGAAAGCGATCTGACGGGTGAAATAAGCTTGACGATCGACCTCAAGGTCGACCTCCTGGTTTCGGGTCGAAAGATAGGCGCCAATAATCTGGATTGTCAGAAATTTATGGGGCCTTTTTCAGTTGGCTCGTGGATGGGCTAGTAAGTAAATTTAAAGTTTTATAGGTCTCCCCACCCTTATCGAGAAATCCTCAGTGGTGCCGACTTTTGCGAATGCAATATCAAGACTGATGATTGTCGGAAGTGTACAACGGGTGCTGCTGGTCATCTGTTATGCATTGTTAGTATCGTGCAGTCCACAACTGACCCTTTCAGCGTCCGGCTGATTCCTTCTCAACACGGGAATCCCGTCGACAGCTCCTGGCGATGGGAGCAATTGCTGGGCAAAGGAACCCACTAACTCTTCCGCTATGTCGAATGCCTCAGCACAGGGGGCCCTATTTCCACGTAAATCGATAAGATTACAGTTCTCACCTAACCGAACAGGTCGTTCTCATAGTCTTTCCAAATGTTACAAACTTTTCACTTGCTGAAGCGCATTCCGGAATGGCCGCCAGTTTCCAAGGGATATTGCCTAAAGGGAGTTGAAAACTTCTTCATCAAAGCCCCCATACCGTTCTGCGTTTTCACCAAAAGCGCGTCTCCCGTCGAATATTCGTCGTGCCATCCCCGAGCCCCAGCACTTTGTCGAAAAATCACGGTGAATTGCAGCTGATGAACTCCGAGGTCTTCCGCACCCAACCGACGATAGGAAACTTTCGGAACTTCAGCGTTTGTAATTTGACGGTTTGAGTCGACATCTATTTGCAGTACCACCTGAAAAATCGTCGCAATTCAACATTCTCAATCACCTCTTGAAGTACATTATCACACGTCTTCTCGTCTGGATGCCAAGAGGGAGCGAGAAGCTGCTGAGTCGTACTCCATTCAATAGTCGTGTTATCCTAAAACGACTTGCTTTCTATAGAAATCTGTTACCTTGCTGCTGCCATCACTCAATGCCATCCCGAAATAATGTTTCGCATTGAAAAGAGATCCGGATTCGCACAAGCTCTGGCTCAACTCAGGCGAGGGCCAAAGACAATTTATCTTTGAGGAGTAGGGGATTTCTGAACAATTAATATTCACGGCTGCAACTCTACGCCCAGTTTACCTATCTCTGTCATACCCGTACATTGATCGGAAAAACTGCTTATTGGTAGTCTAAATGGGGTACCATCGGCATAACGTACGACTTTTGAAGGCGATTCCTAATAAATAGTAGTTTTTAACAACACTTGAGTGATCTATCATACATCATTCCCTTCAGGGTCAACCCCCGTAGTTTTTATGTACGATTCCATCTCTTCAATGGTATCCACAACCGGAACATTTTGTAGAACATCGGCGGCTAAAGGGCTTACAAGACAACAGATGGTCCTACCCTTTCGGATGACACAGAACGGGTTGAGTGTCGGCCACAACCCGGACCGATCGGCGCCTTTAGCTAGCGCGAAGCATTCACTCGATTGAGCTTGCAAAACCTCATGCAGGAAACAAATAATTAACAAAATGGAGGTCATTTTGGTGTCCGAATCCCGGAAATTGTTTACTACTGCCAGCGTCAGCAGTTGCCATAGCGACTGGCGCGGGTCACACCGACCTAAAAATACCCAAAGGCCCAATCTTCCCAAAAGCTGTTGAGGACGCCTGTCTAAGCGTGAATCTGCCAATTCCCCATGTTCCTTGTGCTCTTATCCACTAGTATCTGGGCATCAAAACTTTTCATCGCAAATGCAAATCACAACTAAAAATTGCCGATGGGCTGTACAGAATGTGTGCGGTGCTACTGGATAGGGAGGAGGATAAGTAAGAACGCCCGCGAGTATGAAGCAAGGGATGCGCATGTGAACCGGTATGAACACCAAGTCATTGGAGAAGAGCATAGCCAATTAAGGCGCCCGAAACAAAAGCACAGGTGATTTTCGTCCAGGGGGCAAAAAACCCGTTTTTGTTTCATCGCGCCTCGAGAGCAAACTCTAGACTAGCCGAACGGAATAAAGAGGGTGGCAACGCGGGGTAAACGGGAGAAACACGCGAATTTGGACAAATCTTAAAGGAAGGCGTACCCATTGAGCGCAAAGAGATGAGAGCAGATTGGGGGTTGAGAAGACTGGGCACACGTGAAAAGAGAATCCCAGCAATCGGGAATTTACATCGAAAGGGTTCGAGTAGAAAACACACACAAGACTTATCACAATCATTGGACCAAGATTGGCTAATGTAACCGAAGTAAAAATATGGCTTTACTCGTTGACTTCCATCGCAATATTCTCATCGACATGGTGGACCTCCGGGCTTGCCCTAAGCAAAATATTTAGAGCCGGAAAACAAAAAGAAACCTTCGCTGATAGACGAGCAAATAAGGGCTGTCGCTGATGTAGGGATCATCCGGAGCCGGGATCTCGTGTACAGAGGAGTCGTTGAATTCGTACCTAACGGAGGAGATTATCCCTTTTTCTAGGCATACCATTTCCCATTGGGATTCAATCCGGTGGCCTTGTAGTGCCCGCCGGCCAGCACTCCATAATGATGGGACATTCCGATGAGGTCATATTGGACATGCTCGTGCTTGTCATTTGCCAGTTTGTCGTTCAACTCCAAACCCCTAAAACAGAAGAAAATACATAACGCGGATTCACTCCATACCTAGACGGGATCTGCACTTGAATCCCAATCTTCTCGCGATGCCACCGGTCGTAGATGAAGCGCTTGAGGTGGATGATGAGCACCTATACGGCATTGTACTTTCAGAGAAGCCAAAACTCACATCAGGCAACTTCCAGAGGTCAAGACGCTTCGTAGCACGCTTATGCTCCTTGCAGCGAGGGCAGTACCAACTGTCGTTCTCGCTCAATTTCTCATCCTTGGTGAACAAGTCGATGCAATCCTTCAGCGTTATCAGCGTCGGCACAGGAACCCTGCACTGACGATCAACGAGGGCCTGAAAAGTGGTTATTGTAGCAAACAGGAGACCCGTACCTTGCCATCTTTCCCATTAAAGATTTGCGGATTCTGCCAACGGATCACCAAAGTCGTCACGGAGACCCCGCGGATGCTTTCTTCGTTCAACGGTGAGAGGCCCTCGGGGGTCTCGAAAAAGATCTAAAAAATAATCGTATTCTCGGGTATTACTCGGCGGCACATCGCTTTCCATTCCAATCGTACCATCTGCCCATGGTAGGGGGGCCCTAACGGCAACCGAACGCCAAGGTTAGGCGAATTGCGCAACTCGCTCGAGGGGCTGTTGCTCTGGCTAGCCTGGTATTTGCTAAAAGGCTCAAAATGTCTCCGTCCAACAGCCCATGCTTCGGAGGGCCTAGCATCGAGCTGCGAATTGCGCAAAAACTTAGGTCCAACCGCGAACACACACTTTTTTGCGGGCTGTTCGTTAATATTGCGCTGAGGGCCGCGGGGTTTTTTTACAAGTCGCCCACCTCTGGTTAGTTGTAATTCCTATACGTAGCGGGCCACCTGCTAGATCCTATCACAAAGACCGGACAAGTACCCGGGTGGTAAAGTTTATGAGAGAGCTGTATAATTCACCGGGGTCACCGGTCGCCGATTTGCCACAGGCGGTCTGGCACCGAGGTTGCCCGCAGACCAGTGGTACCAGTACCAGGGAAAGTGGCCGCGGGAAAGATATCCAAAATCCACACCTCATAAGGGACTCCTTCGTCTGCGTCATGCACCAGCTGCGGATCCTTGAAGAATTCGCTACGGATCGTCGGCATCGCCACATTGTCAACCCACTCCCTGAATGACACCATGAAAAAAAAAAACAATTTAGTGCCCACCTATTGATTTCGACGCCCGGGCTGATAGCGAACACGTAGGGCAAAGTAACGGGGCGTTCGTTGCTGACCGATTGGTTCTTGACCACGACCATGAGCTGTTGTTCAGGGGAATCTAAAAGTCAGCCAATTCCTGATTACAAGAGTCTAGAACATACCAACGAAAATGCCATAAATTTTGTTATGGTGTTGCTGCTGGTGGTACGAGCTGTACGAATTATTGATGGCCACCGTGTCGTCGGCACGAAGGAACTGGACGTTCTGACGCTCGTCCATCTTCCACAGGACAATCTAAACACAGTTTGAAGTCGAGGCAAGAGAAAAATTTACCGGTTTTTCCTTGTATTCAATGCTCTTCGCCAGATCGTCTTGGATGATTTTTGTGGCCTCGGGAACGGTGGTGCTCCTGGTGACCTTCATGGCGAACTGAAAATAAAACATTTCTGGGGGTAAAGCTAGATTGGGCACTCAATATTCCATTTTTAATCAACTCCATATCATATTTGATACATTTTTCTTTTATTTTGCTGCTAACGCTTAGCATTTTCGCTGCCAGAAGCCCCAGCCGTTATTTGAACGCAATTGCGCCATCGGGCTCCTCTTCGGGGATGACCTGGAGGGGCACCTCGGCGGAGTTGCGCAACGGAGGCCGTCGGGTCAAGCCCTATCTCCCACACGGCATCCCGGGGGGCGGGACTCTAAGGACAAGCTCGGTCGCCGATCCGATGGGTCCCTCAGTCTATGCCTACGGTCCTTACAGGTTCTAGCATAAACGCCCAATTTGCCGGTTATTGAAAAATGACCGCCAAGATTTTACATCCGACTAATTCCCCCATCCGCCCACGAAACAAAGGTAAGTCCCGGAGAGCTCAAGCTTTTTTAATTAACCGATTTACGATTATGCTCTTTCAGCTGGCTCCGCCCCCATTTATCTACCATCTTACATGGCTGAGGGTCAGCTTTGCAGCGTGTGTGGAGATATGGCGACTGGCTTGCACTACAGGTAAACAATCTCCCCCAATTCCCACAATACAAATTAGGGCCATCACTTGCGAAGGCTGCAAGGGCTTCTGGCGCCGCACCGAGCAGAGACACCTTGACTATGTGTGCCGCACAGGACAAGAACAATGTCCGATTAACAAAGACAATCGCAATGGCTGCCAGCGCTGCCGCTATAACAAGTGCAAGGCTGTGGGGATGAGCTCTGACCGTAAGTGGTTTTCCTTATTTAAACAAAGTCCAACAAAACCTTTGTTTGTGAAATTCGGGCTATCAATAATAAATTAGGGGTAATTTTTTCATAGGAGTGCAGAAATGCCTAACACCGTAAAAAAATTATAGCCTTGCTAATCATATTTAATTATATTTGAAGTGGAAAACTATACAAAAACTTCGAAAAATCCGTTTCATATTACAAAAATTCCATCCCATGGAAAAATTCTTCCTCACATGAAATTCCATGAATTTTAGTGGTGCTGACGGAAAATGAAAGAGCCCAGAAACGAGATCTCATCAAGGAAAACCGTGTGCGGAAAGCCGTCAAGGAAGTCCTTGTCACTCTGAAGACTCCTTCCACCGAAAGAGAACATCAAAAGGTGAGTTATTTTTTAATTTTATCACTATTTTTAGGAACTCGGTATCGTAATTGAAACCGTGACTAAATTCTACTGCGACAAGCTTGATTTGCCACTGTCTCAACCCGATGCTAACGGAACCGCGTCAGAAAATGCATATATGGAACTCTTGCGCCCATTCGTTAGGCGAAGTCGAGAGTTTGCGCAGGCCATCAAGTCATTTGACCAGGTAGAGGCTAATTGTTTTTGCGAAAAAGAGTTTTGCAGTTGAATCAAGAAGCCCAAGAATCGCTGCTTCGAGCCTCACTATTAGAAATCCATCTTTTGCGGTTTTTGTCATTCTATGACCCTACGGAAAAATGCTTTGTTCCGGAACCAGAAAAGAAGATTACCGTCGATGTGCTTCAAAGTGTTTTTGGCGAGGTTAGTTTCAATTAGTTCCTAGCTTAGGCTGACACTATGTATTCCAGAAGCAACAATCACTCCTCAAAGAACTATTGCTGATTGCCGAACAGGTCCACGAGCTGCAAATGGATTTACGGCAAATGGCCATTCTAGCTGCGCTCTTCTTCTTCAACCCCGACAATGCGCTTGAGGTAAGTCGTCCAACAAATAAAAAATATTCCAAAGATAGCACGACGGGTTTTTGCGTAAAAAGTAATAAAAACGGTTTTTAGTATGCCGGCATTCTAACGCCCACACACAATGTGCTTTGGGACGCTATGCGTCACATCGTTGACGAGGAAAGCGACGGAACCGACCCCAAAAGGTACAGAATTGCATGGAGTCCTAGATTTCATTATTCAGGTGGAGCCTACTTATGACAAGAATTTTTGGCTATCGCCAATTCTGCCAAAAGCTCGAGATGATGCTATCCCCGGCGAATTATCGGCTTTTTAGTACAATTCTAAATGTCTAATAGCGGAAGTACGGGCGGGCAGGTAAGTTTCGGACCAGGTAAGTGGTTAAGTCATTATGGATTTTCATTCATTTTAAAAAGACCGGACTTCTAAATGGCAGCAGGAAATATGTGCAATGCAGTATCTAATTTTAAACCTAGATACTATTTTTACAATCATTTCTACGCACGTGACAATGTGCAATGTCTTCAGTTAGAGCTGATAAGTGTGTAAATCGATGGCTAAAGAACAACCGCCTGATGAATATTATGTGTATGTCGGGGCCAATAATACCTAAGCAGGTTACCATGTGCAATGTTTTGGCGCGCGGCCGCGAATCGAAATAAAACGAAATTTCGATGGCTCCAATATGTGTATGTGCGGGTGGAATGTGCAATGTCTATAGAAAAAATTCAAGGGTTTTTGTGCATGTAAAAAGTCAAACTAGATCTTAGGCCGTATTTAACTAGAAGGAAAATCAATACAATTTAGGCAGAATTACAGCAGGTCGCCTCTCTGCCACCTTTTTCACGAAAACATTCTATCAAAGCTCAATTTTGGATGTTCAATAAACTCTTTCCTTACCAGAGCCCATTTCTTGTCAGGCTGCATCAACAAAAACATTTGCTCAAATTGCTTCTCAGGGATGGGCAGCGGCAGGGAAAGGAAGCAGATCGGGTCGAACTTGATGGATATCTGGGAGATTTTCAATAAAGATAGACGAAAGAACAAAATACCTTCATGCATGTGGGACAGGTCAAAGTACTCTTGATTTGCCCGTGGATCTTGTCGACGATGATGCTGTCGTTACGTGCTTTGTACTGATCCCACTGCAGCTTGGCCAACTAAAAAACATTGGGCTCAGAAATTATAGGTAAAGTTACCTCCTCGTCAGACTTATTTTCGTCCTCGTCATTATCCGCAAAGTAGGGCTTGTTCTTGATCCGATTCAAGTCTTCATGCAGACCGTCCAGGACAAAGGCCATCAATTCTTGGGAGTCTTGTTGGCTGAAGCCGCTAAAGCGGGGCGCAATCTGTCCAATGACGGTCTGAAAGGGGGCCGTGAAAGTAATACCGAAGGCACGTATCACAATAAAAATAAAATTAATACCTTAATTTGCCTCGGGCTGATGCTGCTGTTTTCTCCGCTCCATAGCTGCTCCAAGAGGTCAGCAAAGGCATGGGCCAAATCGCCACCTAAACGTTTGATTAAACGCCACCGATCGGAAACCGGCTTACCAGTTCCGAGCGGATTCTGCTCGTTGACCTCGCCCTTGTAGTGACCAGACAAAAAGTATTGTCTGAGCGGCGGCACATTGGACAAACATTGCAACGAAGAAGCCATGAAGCAAGTATTGCCTAAACAAAACCTCAGCATCGGAAAGTAATAATACCCAAGTTTTGAAGTCCGCAAACGCCCGGGATCTGGTCGGCAACACGCGCATAGGAGAGGCTGAAAAAATTAATGGATTAGTGTGCCAAAATAGCGCCGCTCCCCAAGTGACAAAGCAAGGATTAGCGACAAAAATAGATCATAGGGGAGGTACGTTTCTCGCCAACGAAAAGCTTGATTGCCAGTTATCCATCAACACGACAATGTAAAGAATGTGCTTTTTGGGAAATTGATAAAAATCGGATAGTCAGCGCCAGAATTTTTTTGAAAGAGCTTTGTCACCTGGATGGATAACGGGCACACGCGCTTCACAAGAACTAATTCGATGGCAAGTAACGCACCTCATGTCCCCGAGGATCCCGCCAAATGCCAATCGGAGGATTCGGCGGAGCCGACGTGCCGGACCCGAATAGACAATCTCCGGGACGTACGGGATATAGAAGGCTAACGAGAAAATCGGCGCCACTATTGTCCACAGGACCCCGTGAAGGGTCACAAAGAAGAACGGCAACCAGCGGTGTGAGCTAATACCACGAGGTTAAGCAATTAATCAGGTGCAGCAAGGTGTGAAAACGGAGGTATAAAGTTCACCTTCCTCCACCATTCATCGATGGGCCGTTCCGAGACCGCGGCGCGGGCGGCTGAATAACTCCATTGCCCTCGTCATCGAGCACATCAATCAGAACCTGCAATATAAAAAATGCAATTTTAGTAAATTTAGAGTGTACTCTGGCCCTCAAGAAACACACCACTTGGTTGAAGGTGAAGAAATGCTCCCAATTGGTCTTCATCTCGATCGTCAGCAACTCGTAACGATCTTCGTCCTAGAAGAATCCGTCATATTATATATCGTCATAAAATAGACCAGACCTGGTGATGAATATAGAAACGGAGCCGATTGTGCGGTGTCTGGCCCAGCCCGAGGGCTTGAACGGCCTTGGTGCCGAGAGTCCCTAAGAAAAATTTACGCAACGAATCAACAACTTACGAACGGTGTCGGTTGGAACCACAGGCAAGGTGGCTGTTTGCTGACGATCCCGAGCCAGGGAGACCTAAGCAAGGTTTTGAATGAAAGTGTATATATGAACCGTCAGAAATTTGGCGTAGACTTCAACAAATAGCTCTTGCTTGACCGGATGGAGCTCCACCTTGCGCTGAATCACGTCTCGGTCATCATCGACAGCGCCAAACGTGTTGTAGAAAGCGAGGAATTGCTGAAAAACCGAGATGATTACCATGAGATCATACACGCCGAGCCGAAAAATTATAAAAATCCTCACCTCTTTTGGCACTAACTGGTAGTCCAAGCCCTCGACCTGGTTTTGCTTCATATACCAACGATCACCTAAAAAATTTAGATGCAAGTGGAGTTTGGGTACCTCGCTTTTCGGATATTTTCGAGCAATCGATTGGCGTAATATCCTCCAAGTAACCGGCGCCGGCCGCTTGCACAAGGCGTTTCCACCAATCTGTCGATAACACGTACCTAAAGAGAATGCCAGGCTTGCAGCGAAAATTACCAAGTATCGTTTTGAACAAGACGCGTATTCTCCACGTCATCAATCAGCGCGCTAAGCTGATCCTTGGTGGTAATTTTCTGGACGTTGACCTCGCTGAAACAAAAGATTCATCAGCCCCCTGCGGCAAGACCGACCTTGAACCATCCATAGGCTCGTCCACGACATCCTCTTGAGTCATGGTTCGCTGTATTCAACAAACCCTAAAGAAAGCCAATAAGTTTAATGTACAGAAGTCAGAAGAGGGAGAGAGAGAGCCCAAAAATTGCAGACCGGGACTTGTTTTTTGAAATTCCCTAGAAGGTCCCCCTAATGTTTTAAAGTTATTTCTGGTCTATCAGGACACGTATCAACGTTTGAAATAAAAAAATCTGGGCAAATCATCAAATTGACTCCCCGGGCAAAGATGCCTGGCCGAAAGTCCCGTGACAGCGAGTGAGGTGTAAGGAAAGCATGGAAATAGAGACAAGATGGGCCGAAAGATTGATACCGTACACGACGTTCACGAATTTTCGAATCAGAGCGGAGAACGTAACTAGACAATGTACGAATTGCAGAGTTAGTTGTATCCGGAATGATGATTACTTTTTTGAAACAGCGCAACCAATATTCGGAAAATCCGAGCGATTTCTGTGGTTGGAAATAGTGGGGGCAGAGGATAGGGGGTGTCTCTCGTTATCTAGCGCTCTCTCCCTAGAACACAGTTCGATGCGTACAAAACGTATGAATCTTCGAAATTGTCCAACTTTGCAAGTTCCAGCCAAAACAGAATCCAGCGGCAAAAGTTCTGCTATGAAAAGCTCGCTTTCGACGGGGTTGGCACGGAATGTCAGCAAGTGGGTCTTGGGGACAGCTGATCGTTCTCAGGGCCCGTCGCGGGACCCAATCGCCCGTCATGCCGGCTCCTCTGTAAAAAGCTAATCGCTCAATGAAGCGTTCTCCAACTCTAAATGTTTGGCCTTTGGCCTTATTTACGACCTTCGAAATCCCCAGATCAAACAGCTAAATCTATCAGAAAGGCCAGGCGGATGTGTTACATTCGAAATCTTAGCCCCAGGCTTCCCCTAGCGACGTCGCTGGGCTCGGAGCTTTGTAAGAAAACTGTATTGCTGCCCGGCGAATCGATCGATCTCGGCATGTGCCGCGGAAAATTAATCTCTAAGCCGAAACATGTTCCCAACCAGCGAATCTGCACATTTTGGTGAAGCCTAAAAGCTGCGACATAAGTGCGAAACACTTCCGGTGTGTTAGACAAAAGGATTGTGGCCGGTAGCTTCTATATGGGATGGTGTCTATTGCGCGCAAGCATTTGCGATCTACAGCAGATTGTAGTTTTGTGATATTGAGCGTGATTTGATAAGCTTTTCGTTTTTCTTATTATCTCTCCTTTATTCGGCCGCTGCCTACAACCATTTTTTTTTCATTCCAGGCACGCCCTACCCCAAAAAAAACCCGTGTGAAAGTGGAGCCGTCTGGTGGCACCGTAAGGGAAGAATGTCTCTCCCAACGGGCTCTTCCCCTATGGTTCGCCACCAGTCGCCGATGCTGTCCCCGTGCTCGCCACCATCGACGCTCTCGACGCAGCAGCCCTTCTCTGGCGCCAGCACTGCCACTCAGTCGCCAATTTTGTCGCCAAAGAAGTAAGATTCATATTTTTTTTTCAGCTTATATTGTTCTTTGCAGGGCGACAAAATTGGTACTGCTGCATCTCCCCTTCGGCCTGCATTCCAAGGTCGAGGTGAGAAGCGGCGAGTCAGCGTGTGACGCCATCGCACGGGTAACTCATTTTGTTTTTGTTTTTACAAGGTTTTTAGGTGCTACATAAGCGACGGATCCAGCCGTCGCTATGCCACGTGAGTGATTCGTCAAACCCGAAGACTGAGCGTCTTGATCTCACGGTTAGAATTTTTCGATTTATTTGATCCCTGTTTTTAGGAAGAAATGGAAGTCATCGCGAATCGTCTCGCCAACAAGGAACTTTGGGTGCACAGCGAGTACTTGGACACCGTCAACCGGATAGAGCACACGTTCCAAAGGTAAGGAATATCAATTGGGCCGCCTATTCCTTGCTTTTAGAAAGACGTTCATCCCGCCCCAAACGTGCGATGCGTGCAAGCGGCAAATGTGGATTGTGAGTAGCCAGTTGAATTTTGTCATTTTTCATTAGGCCTACCGCTGTGAGTACTGCAATGTCAAATTCCACCAACGATGCAGCTCAAAAATTCCGATCTACTGCGACCTCTTACAGCGAGGAGATGAGGTATTTGAATTGTTGGAAAATAAATGATGTTTTTAGACAATCCTGAACAAGCTCCGGGACTTGTGTACACAAAGCACTGACGGGCAATTCGCGGAAGAAATTCTCACAAAGTTCATCGAGCCTTCATCACCGTCTGTCCGACAACCGCAGCACAGCCCTGGCGACCGGGAGATCCAAAGGTGGGTTTCGTACCTGCGTGGTTGCTTTTGAAGATTAGAAATTTATCCATAAGCTATTTTCACCTTGTCAGAAAACGCGCCGTGAAACGAAGCAATGCCCCTCACATCACCCACACTCCGACTGCGTCAACCCTATCCTCAGCACCATATCCGCGCGATCGCTCCTCGTCGGCGCCAAATATCAATGCCATCAACGAAGAAGGGGCGAGCCTGGAGCACGATGTAATATTTTCAACGGCAGATTTTCGAATTACTCCTATCTTCACAATCTCTGTTCTTATAGCGCGTTATGGCCGAGCTCGAAAAGCGCGATGATCCGAAGATAATGAACTCTGCTCGTCATCCGGGTGCACAGCGATTGATCACGACGAACAGGCTTCAAACTGGCGGATCACCGTGTTCATCTACATCACCCTCTTCGACATGCTCATCGCCACCGGCGCACTCGCTTCATCCGTCTCATCTGTTCCCAAATGCGATGCCGCTCACGCCTCCACAGAGCGCCCCGCCTCAAAAAGTATGTTTGGCGACTTTTTTTGCTTAGTCTATGTTGTAGGTTTCGACACAGTTCTTCCGCGGTCGAAGCAAAAGCCCCGGGGACAAATTGGATACGATTCAGCCGCTTCGGTCAAAGACTAAAAAGCAGTTGGAGGATTGGGAGGTATTAGAGCTTTTTTTCAGCGTATGACAATTTGTTTGCTAGATCGATGCTGCGATGATATCTTGCCAGTTCAAAGTCGGATCTGGATCATTCGGGACAGTTTTCCGTGCTGAATACTTCGGGCTCGTGGCTTTGAAGCGCCTCAATGTCCTCGACCCGAATCCGTCACAACTACAAGCCTTCAAAAATGAGGTTATTTTTGACTACTGCATTTTTCATAATTGTTTAGGTTGCATTGCTAAAGAAGACTCGGCACCCGAACGTCCTGAACTTTATGGGCTGGGTGCGTGAGCCGCAGCTGGCTATCGTCACGCAATGGTGCGAGGGCAGTTCATTGTACAAGTATGTGTTCACCGGATTTTTTGTTATTTTTATTTAGACACATTCATGTTGTGGAGCCGAAGAAGGAATTTGAGCTAACAAGTGTCCTCGATATTTTCAAGCAAGTCACCCTGGGGATGTACTTCTTGCACAGCAAGCGCATCATACACAGGTGCACAGCTTGCCTCTCAACTCATCGGAGTTTTTAGGGATATGAAATCGAACAATATATTCTTGACGGAGGATAATACCGTCAAAATCGGTGATTTCGGACTGGCCACTGTCAAGACGCGATGGAGCGGTGCGCATCAAAGTCAGCAGCCTACAGGCTCCATACTTTGGATGGTAGGCTTGGTGATCGTCTGACCATTTCTGGTGTCTTTTAGGCTCCTGAAGTGATTCGGATGCAGGACCCGAATCCTTACACCTATAAAAGTGATGTTTACGCGTTTGGAATCGTGATGTACGAGGTGCTGGCCGGTCTGCTTCCATACAGCCACATAAACAGCCGCGACCAAATTCTATTTATGGTTTGTCGATTCAGACTGTATTTATTTTTTCTGGAATAGGTTGGTCGCGGTTTCCTCCGGCCCGATTCGTCCAAGATTCGCCCTGATTGCCCCAGAGCGTTGAAGGAGTTGATGGACCGATGTATAAAATTCGATCGCAATGACCGCCCTGGGTTCAACGATGTATGCGTAATATTTGATAACATGATTTGTTCCGTTTAGGTCAGTGATAGCCTGCAGGAAATCGCGTTGCCGAAATTGACCCGATCCGCCTCGGAACCACTTCTTCACACAACGAGTATCGAATTCTGGAGCAAGCGTAAGGAACATGACAATTTCGAGAAGCCTTCTGTCGCAATGCAAAACATGAAGTGCTACATGTAAGTCGGCTACCCGAACTATTTGGGTAGTCACTTGCTCAGAATACGCACTTTTCGGAATTTTTTCCAATCGCCGGGGCTATTCGCTTTTCGTTATCTTGAAAAACCCTTCATTTAGACGCAGCTGCCAGCTTCCTGGACTGATGAGGGTTGATTCGGCCGTGTTCTCTTCGTTGCTGATCTAATTATCCATTACCATTTCACACAAGCTTGCGGCACATTGTTCGTGCCTATTTGTGATATCATACCCCACCCAGCTTCAGCCATTGATTGGATTGTGGGCTATGGGTTTGTGAGAATAACCTGTGAAATCTGTGTGATCATCTCTCTCTCCTTTTGACCCCCCCTTTGTCGTAATTGTTAATACCACCCAATTATGTTGAACTCTTATCCTGGGCTTGTTTTCTGTGCAGCGTCGAACCAGAGCACTACCGCCACAAGGTTTTGTGCTGGACGCACTTCTGTTCCATAACTTTCCCTCAAACATCCCCACCCACTAACATCTCCCACCAAACGACCAAGCTGTCCACATTGTGACCCCCTAAATTTTGGGCCACCACTTTTTTATTGTTCTGCTTCCCAGTGCTCTAACACGCTTCCATTTAATGTTATAAACATTTTATCAGACAAAATTTTGGATACGGCACACCGGTTGGCACGCGCGGTTTTGCATTACCGAGAGGTTAGGAACATTTGAAAATCTATGATGATGAAGAGTTATGAGCATCGAAAACATCCTTGTAAACAGAACACTAGATTTTTGACGTGGTGCTTTTCAGATGGATACCCAGAATGAACTGTCGGGAATCCACACCAAACTTCGACAGCTCGACCTTCGTAGAGACGCTGTAAACAAGGAACGGTTTTATATACTACCGTCGGTTGAGGTGTGACTCTTAAAAACCAATTCAGTGCATTTAGCTGATTTTGGAAGCGTTTCACGATAATGTCAATGAAGCGTTGACGGCTCATCTCGAGCAAAAGTTGTGGAAGATCGCCAAGGAGATGATCGACTCCGTATCTAAAGGCTCCAATGACATGACCACAGTCAAATACGTAGGCTGCTTCGGGTTATTAAGAGCAAACCTCCTTTTTAGAATGGAATCAATGCCTGCAATATGTCTCTATCATGGTTCGTCGATCTGGCGCTTTTAGTTCAATCGGGTTGCGCATTCACCTTTGAGGCAGCCCCGGCGTTTTTAAAGTCTGCTGAATTTAATTTTACAAGCTCCAAAACTTTCTAGGGCCCTCGATTCGATGTACAACTCCGGACCCCAAACGCTTTCTCGGATACGGTCGCGCAAATTCGAGTCGTTTATCTGCCTACGCGTGGGTGACGTGATGAGATACAAGGTAACGAGCTTGTAGTCTAGCATAATTTCCCTAGGGGAATTTGAGCGCTGCGGATGAGCTCTACGCGGCTTCGATTCGTGTTCTACCGCTGCTTGGCGACCCGTGGAACCAACGGGGACTCTTATTGGCCAAACGGTTGGTAACCAGTTTTTTCGTTCCTTGACTTTCCTGTCCGCGTTGGGCGTGCAGCAGTTTCAAGAATATTCTCGATATCGCCTTTACTTCTGGCTTTTCAACCCTTTTTTTAATGCGTGCAATGGCTTTTCCTTATATCGCACCTTGGGGATACATATTTTAGGGATGTCTTGAAATGCCTCTACTTCCACTATCGGGCTCTTCATTGCCGATTTTCTTTTATTGGCGCAACCTCAAACATCCAGAAGATCTTTCAAGAACACTCGGAAACAAGTACGTCTGTAAAATTTTCGCTTGATCCAGCCTTTCTAGCCGTGCTAGTCGATTCTCCATTTGTGGATAGGTTCCTGCACGTACTATCCAAGTTCTACTTCGTATGGATGGCTCATTCGTTTATAAAATTGGTTTTTTTTAGATGACCCGGATCCATCAACGTTTGGTCGACAGCCTGTTGGAAGAGGTGCGGATCTTTGGGGATATTTGATTCATCCCTATTTTAGTGCATTACAATAGAGGCGATTGTTTCGCTGCTTGGTGTACTTTCCGAATTGGGCGTATCCAGCGATGAGAAGGCGATCATAGATGCCATTTATCGGCTTGTCGATGGGGCTGTTGCGTCGATTGCAAGAAGGCAAATGGTGATGTGTTGATTATTTCCATCTTCTAAACCCCGGTATTCAGGATGGCTGCTCATCTGAAAAGGAGCTATGGGTGTTGGCGTTATGTTTGCGTGTCTGCAGCCCTGAAGCCCTCAAGGCACAACCGATAACCGACCTTGTTCAGCGACTACTCGATAACGAAGTACCCATAAGGGATTCGGAGCTCACCAGATTGTATGCAATTTGTTTGGTGTATATCCAATTTTTTTCCAGTTGGCTTTGCTTCGAAGACCCCTGTGATCGACCCTTAACCGCTGGTGGATTGGCCCGAACATTGTGTGCGATTAGGGACGGTGAAGTGATGTGAGAGCTGGCTTTGAGCTTCGATTGACGCTGATTTTAGTAATCGGAAGGAGATTAATTCTGGCGGGAAGTCGGATCAGCTTGGTCCAAAACCTAAAGCAGCGCTCCGAACAAGGCAAGATGGCCCAAAATTGGATGCCCTAGTCAGCCGGCCAATGCCATCAGAAGTTGATGAGGCGGAAGCGGAAGATCAACGCGGCGAATCGACGGTGGCGGCAGGTCGAAGAAGGGAGCGAGCAGAGTCAGAGTCCGAAAGTGCCGGCGAACACGACGATGAAGAAGAGCCTGGTATTTTTTTTACTTTGAGCCATAAACCCTAGAGCCAGTATCCAGACATTGGTGTTTTGGTACCAAAATCTGACTGCGATTCTATAAAGGCTCTCTTTTCAGCAATCGTCGAAATGAGCCTCTCTGATGATGATGACCCGGGTCTTGTTGCGAAACCTCGCCCTGGAAGGTATATTTATGGATGGATAATTAGGCATGCATAATCCTGCACCACCCACTTGCCGAAAGGTCTTGCCGTTTCCTGGAAAGTAATTAAGGCTCTCTCTCGTCCTCTAGACATCAATTCCGCGGTCTTGGATAATCTGGGCTCCCCGGTGGCTCGGGTTGTGTCTCCAATTATTTGACGGGGGAGGGCAAGGAATTTAGAAATAGACATGGGTGCCATCGCTTTGTCGGGCCCAAGGATTTGGGCGGGCTGGGCTGTTAATTGTGTTTTCGTTAACACCACGCCTTCAGACAGCAATAATTTGTGTGTTGTTCATACGTTGGGAGTAGTTTTGCGAATTTTGAGGCTACTGCGAATATTTGGGTTTGTATTACTTGGTATTTCCAGTGTATTGCTTCTCCCTAATCCGTCTCAGCCCTCAAAAACACGCGCTGAGACCCGGCAAGTTTGCCGTGTTTTAGCGACGGCTATTTTTGTCTTAACGTTTCTTCAATAGCGGGAGGGGTGGCGGGTATTCAAGAAGCAGCGAAGGTTGTTTGCTTATTCGCAAGACATCGTCGAGGGGGCCACCCTGCCCGTAGAAACGCATAGCTGATCATGTAGGCAACAAGCTGGGGGTTTTCGGCGGGAGCCTTGGACGCGGGAAAGGGAATTCCTTAGCGGCTAAAGCCCGCAGTGGCACTGCTGCCCTATTGTTCTTGTCAAAGAAGGGCCACCAGTTGAGTTTCGGACCAGCTTCATCTCGCCGCAGCATACTTGAGAATAGAGGTTACGCCCCATTTGTGTGATCTAGAACTGATCTTATTCAAATCAAAGCCACCCTCAAATCTGAGAATTTCATCAGGCTTGAACTCAATAAAATTTTGAATGAGACTCGTATGCCCAACCGATTCCTCGGTTTGTTGAGGGTAGCGTTGATTTGAATAAGGCCAGCCCTAGTGTAAACCCCGAAACTCATCTGTTCGCCTAAATACAGATTTAATGAGGGGATTTACTGGGTTCCTCGGTGAAGAGCAGGGTCATAATTCCCCGGGGCCAGCCCGCAATCCGGCCGGTAGATGGCCACCGGAAATTGTTCTCATCCGGCCATAGGGCTTCCGTTTTCCCGGGCGGGACTTTCGCCCCCGATGGTTCATTTCCCGTGGGCCTACAGCCGTCTCTTGATATCCGGCTCGCCTAGAATTTTCGGGGGAATCGGACTTGCGTCGAGCTCTCCTCGATAAGTCTCTACTTCCCGGTTTTTAATTCTAATAATTTTAATTTAATTTGAATCGTGTTATAGTAGTTTCTCAATAAGAAAAGTCGCGAAGTTCCTGTAGATTTTAAACTTAAATGTTTGGATCATTTTTGGCCCTTTTTTTTGTATTGCAGTCCAAGAGCCAAGAAATTCTTCCGTTTTTTTTGTCCTTAAAAGCAGCGTAGAATTCTCTAAAACTAGCATGCATAGTCTAGTCCAAATTCCACTATTCGCGACATACGGTCATTGAAAAACCCCGACCGCCCCCGGATAAAACATAAGCACCGTTGTTTTCATATTTGCAAGCAATGGGGGCTGTTGAGATTTCTCAGCTTTAGCGAAGCCGCTGTATCGTGACTAGTAAGAACTGCCCTGCCGGAACTCGGCCTGTAAGCTACAATATCCTCGCGTGACTTTGCCATTTAAATCACAAGGCAAGGTCAGGTAACTACAAGTCCGGATTTGCGCCTTGGTGCCCCCCCACGATTCCCGAAATCGGCTACATTTTCGGTAGGAAATATAAGGCGGTATTTCCGTCCCGAGGATCCTGGGCGAGCCCCGGCCCGGACTCTATAGCTACAAATCGCCGCGCTGCCGCTTCATGAGTGGCCGCGTGTTGGAATGGCTGATAGGCCATCTCCAGCGGCCAGTCACTGGTTTCGGACTGCCGCCGCCGCCCCCGGGGACCCATGGGCCCAAAGAAGGCGAATTGTAAATTGAATCGGTCGACACGAGATGCGCTCTGCCCCCCCACCCCCATTTCGATAATGAAATGAGCTGTCTTCTCGTCGTCGCCGACGAGACATCATCGTCTTACCGCCCTGTCCAAAAACAGCGCCCATCAGGGGGCTCGTACTTTGATGCCACCTCCCGTTTTCCAATTTATTTCCCTGACTCTATTTTCAAGGGACGGCACATACCCATTTTTGGTGGTGTTTTCCTCGTCACTTGAAGCCAAGCTACCTCCAGTTCTGGTTCCTTATCGGGGGGGTAGATTTTTGAGATGTTCACCCGGTATGCGACAAATAATGCAAGTAGTTAATGGCGGTTTGCGCGTTTTCATGTATAAAAAGAGTTTTATTACTTTTTGCCTAAGTAGTAGAAAATGGTAAAAAAGTAGTGTTTTTCATTTTTGATTTTTACATTTTTTTAGTAAACGAGCGCCGCTAAAACGCTATGAAAATGTCTTATCTTATTACGATGGAGGTTAGGCTAAATGAAGGATTATAATCCCCCGATAACGAACAAGAACCATTTAAGAACAGGGGCTCCCCAGCCTTGGTTTTTTGCTTTTCTGACTGGTCTCGGTCGTTTCTGAAAACAGTCTGCTCCAAACGCCCAATTCTCTCCCTGCCAAAAATAAAGGAAATTGCAGGCGGGCCCGGCTCGCACACCGATTGCGTCTGACGTAGCTTATAAAATTTATGGGTTTTTTGCCCGGGGGAGCTATGGCTTTGCGTTTTCTTCTGGTTAATTTCCGTCCATAAACCTTCAACCCGGTGGTCATTGGGAAAAAGGCGTTAATCTAGACGGAAATTGGCGGACGCGAGATTGCACGGACACTTAATTACACTATTTTTTTTTGTGTGTTGGAGAGGACAGTGCTTCGTCTGCTTCTTGGGGCAATCTTTCATCAGGGATATTTGATCCACGACCTGGCATCATACATTCTTTGTCTGGAATTTCCAATCACCAAAGGACGCTATCTCGAAAATTCTTAAACCCGAATTCTCTCCATCCCGCAACAAGTATTGGGCCGTGTTTATCAAATTCTTACTACCGAAATTATTGGAAACGATTTGTTTCCAGGAGTTATGGAGTTTTTTGGTTTTAGGAATTACGATATTGGGAGTTTCAAGTTTGTGGAGAAGGTTCCTAGGAACGGCGCATCCGATTGGAAGTAGAACGCGGTGTACCGCTCACTTTTTCTCGTGGTTAACATGAGGGACGATGAAAAGAGCAATGACTGGGCCCTCGTGCCATCCATCATAAGGTTCCCCGTTAGGCCAGTGAAGGAGGGTGCTCATGGGGCCCTTCGTAAGCCCATAAACACTAGGAAGCCCTTAAATGCCTCCCATGCCCCTCTACCCCCATTCTGAAGAGCGCTTTTTCGCTTTTTGAAAAAAGCACTTGCCGCCGTCGGGCCTCCCCTCGACCTCCAACCACTACTCCCTTCCATTGGCCTTGGGTGGGGATGGCCCATCCATCCCTTTTCAAGAAACTAGCCGCCCAACCAGCTGTCTATAGCCACCAGTCTGTAGTCACTTCGAAAACGGGCGCCTTTTTTAGGTCGCCGGCGCTCGAAATGTCTGGCCATACGAAAACATGCTCATGCAAACTCCTCCTAATTGTTCCTATAACTTGATTTGCGCTGTATAGTTCATCGAATCCCATGGGACTTCCCTGCCCGGCTTCGAAGTCACCGCTGCTGAAAGGGGCCGATTCAATTTTACGCGGGGAAAAGTTTTGACTCATCCTCTTACTTCTACCCTAATCATAATCGCGACAGCCAAAATCCCAACAAACCATAATCTCGAGAGCCAAAATCCCGACACGACGCAAACTCAGCAAAGTCAGTTTGGAATGGAGTCAGAGGCGAGTCTGATTGACGGCAATCCAAAATCCATCCAGTCTTTACCTCCTAAACGCTAGTGTTTTAATTTATTTTTATACAGTAGCGGTTTTGCATGTCGGGATTTTAGCTTTAGTTTCTCCTGCTGGGCTTTGGCTGTCGGGATTTTTGCATGGAGGGCTTTTCTTATGTCGGGTATTTTCGGTGTCCTGATTTTGGCGTTTTCTTCTACCGACCGATCGACAGTGTGCATTTTGGGATTTGGCAAATCTTGTTCGGGTCGCCGATTCAGTAGAGCTGTGTTCGGTGCGGCTGGCTGTGGCGCCATTTGTTTGCGTGTGGCTGTGCCATGGACGGGTTTATTGCCTCTTTGAATAGGGGCTGTTTAGGCGGGCTTATTGAGCCGGGGCCCGTCCATATTTTCGGCGGTCCCGCCATGGCTTTCAAGCAGCTCGTGTGTCTCGCCGACGTTTCTCTGGGACTTTTGTAGGCTCTAGATGGGGGGATTGAAAGTTTTTTTGTCCATTTGTTAAGGTTCACGATGCGAAAACTTTTGTTGGTACTGATTCGTTAGCGGGGGGAGGGTGGAGGGTATGGGGGTATTTCCCCAGTTCTCCATTTTTGCCCGACTTCGGCGTGTTTCAACGCGATCCGGTAGATCATCAAAAACTATACGAAGTGTTGAATCACAGCTGAAGATCATGTAAACTAAAATAGCGGGCGTAACGAGAAACCAGCGACAACATACCCCCTCCCGCTAACGGACCAGAACGACTTTTTACAAGTTAAAGATACAATGGAACCCCCCTCAAATCCCCCATTTTCAATGCTTTTAACTTTTTCAATAGAAACCGTTTTAATAACTTTTTTCAGCTCGAGCTCGTCCTCCGATTTTGACTACGATGATCCGTGCCCGGTTTGACGGGAATTGAGCACTGACCGTTGGTAGACGGTGCGAAGAAGGTAGATTCAGCCCGGTTTCCTCTTGCATGTTACAATTGATCCCTTAAACATGTCTCTTCTTTGTGTACACTACGTTGTGGTAAATTGTTATACGGGTGCTGTCTATAAATTCTTTGGCTGATTTGTTTGTCCGGCTCGAACGGCTTGTTAGCTGAGCGAATGTTTGGTCTTTTGGTCGATCCAGTATTTAAACTTGTACTGTTTTTTATATGTTTTACATAAGTGATCTCTACATGATAGGGTGATATCGCGTATCTACCTTTGTAGATATTTCTTTTATCGAAGGAAAGGTTGAAGTTTTTTTGAGCAAAAACTTTTTCCGTATTTTACAGTTTCTAACTTTTACTTATTAAGGTTTTTTACAACCCGAATAGAGAAGTATTTAGATTTTGGAGAATTTTGAGGGGATTTTAATAAGTTTCCCCCGCCGCCCATCACCCCCCCCTCCCCGCTAACAGTCCAGTACCTCGCGGTCGTTCCCCGTGGGGAACAGGTGCCCCGGGTCCCATGTCCATCCATCCACTGGCGGCTCTGTTTGACTGCGAGTATTTTCGGAGTAGCGAATGCTGCTGGTCCAGCGCCACTTCTCGGCGGGGGGCCTCCCGTTGCGCAAATAGGCGACACTCGGGTCAGTTTTCAAGCTTCAATGGCCACATCCCCGCTTCAAATCCCCCCTCTTGGGAAACGGCTAAATCCGTCTTTTGGCCCTTTGCCAGTGGTGGCTCCTATTTCAGGCAAATTTCCACGTCTAGCTAACGAGAAGTCGTTTTTCGGCAGTATTTGGAGTTTCGTGATCTGACATAGCGCCCTGGTTAGAGCTTCAAGCTATGAGCAAGAGCGGACTGTCAAAATTAAAAGCTGCTGAAAGACGACGGTATCGGTAAAACTGCGAATCAAAGCTTGCATTTTGTGACGCGGAAATGGAAAAGAACGGACAGATGACCCCTTCAGAGCCAATTTTCTAAATACGTGTTCAGAATTTCAAACTCTATCGGACGTCCCATGTGACATTGCAAAACTCTAAAAAAACACACCTAAAAACGACTTTCTGGATTGTAGCATTTTTGTGAAAGGAATGATTAGATGGTATCTCAAGTTAGCAGTACAGAAGTGGACATTTAGAACTGTCTAGAAAATCTATAACCTTGGTTTTTTGGAAGTCCTACTTAATGCAGATAACTTAAAATTAACGCCTTTCGACGGGGAATTAATTACCTGTGCCACCCCCTGCTTTATAATTGCGAGAAGCGTCTGGCCGGGGCTACAGATAGATTCATCGGCTCCATAACAAAAAGCAACGGATTAGCGGGTGGGACACGGCACACCTTTAGTGCAATTCTATCGCGGACATTTCTCTCCTGGATTACGAGCCATTCAGAGCATTTGGGCGGAAAAGGAGGGGTTTTTGATGTGGGTGGAGGGCAGAGCCGATGACGGGATTCCGGGATTCTATCTAGTCGTCCTCCTCCGCCTCCCCGCCTCTTCTCTGCACCCTCTTCAAGTAGCCCTGGTAATTACCGCAAAGGGGGGCAGTGCTTGTGGGTCCCTTCCTTTGGCCATGCTCGTGTGTGCCCTCTGGGGGCCCAGTGGGCCCTTGTCTTTGGGTCTCTTTGCTTTGAGTTGTGCGGCGTCTCGTCGTTTTCCGGCCCGCCAGCCCCCGCCGGCTCTCCGTATGCATATACGCTGTTGCCAGGGGTAGGAAATTGATTCGTGCGCGGCTGGGGCGACCAGCTAGCAAACCGATTTTTTTTCGGCTTCTTCTCCGTCTTGGCTTTCTTGGGAATCTCACGGGGCTCTCTGATTTCATTGGCTTTTGCCGGGACGGTCTGGGCCTTTTTAGGCGGGCAATTCTAATAGGAGGGCTTGACTTTTGTGGCTTAATAAAAGCAAGCTGTCTTATTTTTTAGCATACTTTCCTTAATTATTTTAGTGAATCGCAGCAAAATTGTACCTATATTTTACCTGTGCGATGGGCAAATTTTTGCTATATTTGACGTTTTCTGATGAGAGTAGATATTAGACTAGACTACAACCCAAACCATCAATTATGCCACAGACTCGCCACATCATTTCGCAAACGCGCCCTGCAATCTGTTGAACTTAAAAAAATATATCGCCGCCCAATCCCGCATATTTCATTACAGTTCTATATCTCGCTCAACTCCAATAAATGAACAACTGAATTCACAGGCATCCGACAACCCAAACGGCACGCGCCCGTCTGGGGCTGTCCCCGGTCTCGGATATACGATGATGAACTGGCGCTTCGAGAACATCATATCCTACTTTTTCGCCAACCCGAAGCGACAACAACGGCGACTTGAAGAGGTTCAGAAAAGGGCGGGGTTTCGGGTTGAATTTGGTTTCTGGCATCCCGACCCCTTTCTCTGTCGCTTAATTTTAATGTGTTTATTTTTGCCTTTTGTGAATCGTTTTCGTTTGTGGTCCCATAGCCATTGATAAGTGTAGCGCTTCGAATTTTAATTAGAAAGATTTAAAATTTTTACTATTTGACACATTTTTGACCAAAAAGTTTTTCGAAAATTATGTTAAATTTTTATCTACTTTTTTATCTAAAAAGCGCCTAAAATACTATTAACCACTCGATCATGCTTATTTTCGCGAAATCCAGCGGTAGGTAAAAGGGTCGTAAACGTTGACGGTTCCTTTAATCCCCGGACGCAGCCACCCCCATTTAACGCCGTAGAGTTGATGGCCGAGGGCCCTCCTCGCATTCTCAGGGGCCCAGCTGAGCCCCGGCGATGAATTCGAAATGCGCTCTCACACGGCTCATTCGGCGCCGAGGGCCTGCAAACGCTAAACGGGGCACTATCTTTATGGTCTGCGCTTTTTCGGCGTGACCGAATCAATTTTCCCTGAAGTGATTGGGGGGGGTCATTTGATCACGTCTGCCTAATTCTCTATCTTCTGAATTGCGCCCAACTTTTGTTGTTGGTAGGCGTATGCTTACTTGCCTGATGTTATTCAGAGATTTCGGGATTTCGAATATTGCTTTCGGTGCTTCTCGGCTTTGGACTATTAGCGGGGGCTTTCTAGCTGTCTATACCTATCTAACAATTTTTTAAGCGTTTTTCTCTGCATTTCCAAGTATTTTTAGGAGTCTTTGTTTACTAAAAATAACTAAAAATGTTTGGAAACGTTGGAAATCGAAACACCATTTTCGTAGAATTTATACCAAAAATCTAAATCTTTCTATAGTTAAAAACGACCATAAAAAGCTTTGCCTATTTGATGAACACGCGTCTTGACCAAGGTTATACTCGCCCCCGCTAACAGCCCAGAACCCCCCTTTCTTAACACTAAATTTTCATAACTGTCTCTGCACCACTTTCATTATTCACGCGCCCTTTCGGGTGGCTACTAGTCTGGTAGGCTATTGGGAAAAATACCGTCTCCAAGAATTGTTGGGCGTAAAATTGGTTATCGATCGGGCTCCTGTCGGGTCAGCAATGGTTTTTATCGTCAATCGGGATTTCAGAGGATCTATTCGTGCTTCTAGTTGCCGCATAGATACCCATTCAAATCCAGCCGACCCGACATCGGTCCCCTTTCTTTGATAAATATTCCATACTTGGTGTTGAGTTCCAAGTGGATTTCTTCCACGGTACTTCCCTCCATATTCGGGCCACTTTCAAGTAGCGCCACCCATCCGTGTGTATGCTTTCCGCCCTCTCTGTCCCTTTCTACCTCACTTCCGGTGCATTATTTCTGGGGTTGGCCCGAAATGGCGAAAACGATCGGTGCGCAATTTTCGTCGGCCAGTCTCCAGGGCTTAAAAAACCTGCGCCGACGGAGCATGTGCTTGTTTCGTACCAACCGATCTTTCCTTTCATTGCCGTGCGCCCAGTTTTGTTTTGCTTACCAGTTTTGGTAATACCAATTTTTGCAAGCCGAGGGAGCCCTGGGCACTAACTATATTTTGCCTACTAGCCCGAACCAGCGGGGCCAACCCCTCGACTCGTTCGATTCATAGCGGTCGTTTCAGCGAATGGCGGCGGCTTCATTGGCTCTATCATCCCCAACTACCTCTGGCGAGCTCTCCTCCTCAACCCTACCCACCCCCGAGCTGGCCAACAAAATTTCCGGTAAGTGGGCGATACAAAGGAGGAAAAGACACGGATAGAAGGTGCTTTCGCATTATCGGGGGGGTTCTCGGGATAGCTTTTTACTAGACTAAACGTAAAATTCCTACAAACTTTTGTTTAAAAAATAATACCAAACTAAGGATAGATAATAAAAATTTCCACGTTTTTAGAGAGTTTTTGAGCTTGGAATATATTTAAATTTTACTAATGTGATACTTTTTCCTTTCCCTCCCCCGACATTGTGAAAGAGCCGGATAGAAATTCTATCCGACCCGCTTGAACATTCAAAATAGAAAGGAAAGAATAAAACCGACTTTGTTTGTTCAGCAACGCCGATCTGCCGGCCCTCGTCGTCAGATCTCCCCGCAATCGTCAACTTTTTAATAGACCACTTTGTGCCAAATGAACCGATTCTGGCTAGTCTTCAAGTTTCAAACCGGTAGGTGCAGCGATATCTGCATTTGATGAGTGCCTTTTAGGGAGGAGCTCTCTCGGTTACTCGACGATCTCGTTTCGGATTCCCTGAGTTGTCCAGGGACGGTGGTGGCCAGAGATGAGACACGAAACGAGGTATTTCAGGAATAATTTTTCCATATAACGATCAATCCAGGTCATCGGCGTCTGCCTGGCCAGTCGACATCATCTATTCGATCAACAGGTTAGGTTCTTTGCTTTTATGAATATTGCTTCTAGTTGGATCGTCTTTGCCGCTACTCCTTCACGGACAAGGGCCTGTCGATTGCCGTCGAATTTTTGAAATATGTTTTTAATAGGTATGTAAAGTTCATATAATTTTATATAAAAGGAAGCCTTCTTCAGGTATTTTCAAAAGTATCTTTCAGGGTCGACGTGGCTTATCACCTGGAGGAGGCCGGCGTTTCAAAGCCCGTATTCGTGGTGCTGGTCGGGGTCAAGCCCGAGTACCAAAAGGGTGGACTCGGAAAGAGGCTTCTCAATGAGAGGTAGGCAACGGCTTCAGGGGTTTCAGCATTCGGCTTTAGTCTCGACTCTGCGCGCAACTCGAGCGATCGCTGCGATTCGGCATTCACCGTGTGCACTTCGGAGGGCGTGCAGCCGCTCTACCACCAACATTTTCGCCAAGTGGTCTGTTTCTCGGGCTTGTCAAAAGCTATTTCAAGGGTTTCACGCGCGTTTTAAGCTCGTTAAATTTTCTCGAATATTGCCTATCATCTTTTATATTTACTACTTATCAATATCAAATTACTTTCAGATTTCGCGGGTTAAGTACAGCGACTATCGCGGCGAGTTTCGTGACCCGCCGATCCGCCCGGAAGGCTGCGAACTCTCTTCTTCGTCCTTTTGGCCAAACTCTGAGCGTTTGATTGTCATTGTGTTTGTGTTGCTTTCTAATCTTCTGGTATCTGCCCTTCACTCGGTGATCACAATTGGTTCCCCATTCTTTTCTTTGCGATATCTGCTATACCCGGCGCCACTGGTATATTGCCCTCCCCCACTCATGTACCTGACGTAGGATTATCATTGTCATTTGTTTGCAAAATAAAGCATTTATCTGAATGGGTGGGCTATTAAGGCGATTACAACGTGTTGCACACCCTCGACCAGAAATGAGACTCTTAGCTTTGGTAAAAATTTATAAAAGAAGGAACAAAAAGGTAAAAGATTTAGATTTTTCGATTTTTCGACTAAAAACATCCTATCCTATAAGCGAGAAAAGTATGTGTGTTTTCTGTCCAGGCGGTTTCTCGGTCGTAAGGCCGAATTTCCGGCTGATTTTTGGCATGAAGGTGGAGAAACACATTCGCCAAAAACGGTTTTTTGGATTTTTCGAAAGTCCTTAATTTAACGGTTTTACAAGCGAAAATGTAAAAATCCTTAACAAATTGGGTTACGAGCCGCGTTGTACAGGTCATAACTCGAAGCCCTGATGGAATTTCGGTCTGTAATTTGGACCACTTATGTATTTGATAGTGGGGATCACGCGCATCTTATTATCTTTACAAATTTTCTGCGTATTTAGACTAAAAATGGAATTTTGTAGTGACCAGAAGGCCTTTCTCGTGGGATCATGGGGCCGCCCTTTTCTTTGCCCCTGCCGCGCCCCAGGACAGAAGAGGGCTTTCCCGCCTCTCGATCCCAGCTGCTCCGTGGTGTATTGGGTTAGCGCCAGGGCTACGACGCGCAAGGTAGTGAGTTCAGAGGTGTGCGAGGTTTAGGCCTGACCCTCGCTTTTGCGCCGCTGGCCAAAGAAAAAGTCCTTGGCCCAGGCTCTCGCGCCGCAGGCCAAGGATGGGTCCTGGACCCGGGCTCTAGCGCCGCAGGCCAGATCCAGGAGAAAACCCAGTAACTAGCGCCGCAGGCTCAAAGATTCTAGCGCAACGCTGGCTCTGGCGCCGCAGGCCAAAGAATAGCTCCTTAACTCAGGTTCTAGCGCCGCAGGCTAAAAGAAGAAGGTATTCAAATTCATGATTCCTGGACGGGGTCCAGTGGAAAAGGGCCGCGAAGCGGTCTTTTTTCCACTGGTTTTTGATAACTCTCGAGTAAACACTACAAAAAACATCATAAAATACACTATTTACTACCAACAGGTAGGCAGGTTATAAAGGCGATGAACAAAGCATTTCACTATTGAATCAGCAGCGCTAGAAAGCCGCATAAATTGAGGTGAAAGCCATAAACCACCGGGGAGATATCTCTTTCAGCAAATGTGCTTGGTCACCGAATTAATTGAGCACCAACAAAATGACTGACTCGCGGCTCCGCTTCATTTCAAACCACGAATGCTTTATTAGGAGGGGCAACCCCCGGGGCTCGACATCAAAACGACAGTAGCACGAAGGAATACGAAAACCCTTGCAAGGGGGCGAATAATTGGACGGATTAAATGGGATGGGGGCGGATATGGAAACGAGAGAGTTAATGACTATTCGTGGATTGTAAGTGGACTGCTAGGTGTTGATGGAGGGGCAGACACGGGTCTCGGGCAGCCACATGTGGTAGAGGTAGACGATGAACACGAACACCAACAGTCCCAGCCAACAACGCAGCTCCGCTTGCAGCCAGGTCATCGACGGAGTGCTGGTGGTGGCGGAGGGCTGGAATCGGGAACATCCGGAAATAGTATAGTATCGTGTCGGTATTTTAGCTATTTTCCAAATATCATCTACCGGCAGAGCGGAAGCGCATTTATCGGCAGGAAGTGCTTCTAGGGGCGTCTGCGGCGAGACGGGCGACCGAGTGGCATCGGAACCTAAAAAATTTGGATATACCTTGTTGGATCAGGGTTGTGCTCATTTAGGCTTCTGCTTAGAATCCCAAAGCTGGCTTGCCCTTGGCCAAATTGGTCAGACTGGCGATCTTCATCACCGGGCCGGTCGTATTCACAGCATTCTTCGTGCCCGAAGCAGATGATGTGGTCGTGTTCTACAGATACACTTGAGATCTTGAGAACTTATCCCACCTGTGGCTGAACTTGCTGCTGCTTCTTCGGGGTGGAGGGGGTGGCAACAAGGCTCTGCTGGGAGGCAGATGATGCCGTGGTCCTGGAGATGATCTCCGAGATGGTGGGCGAGGTGACGGGCCGTTGACGCATGTACATCTCCAGCGGGGCTGAAAGTTCGGTGCCGACATCTTGAACAAGTACAGGAAATTTACCCCTGATGCCCGAGTATTCTTCGATGGATCGACTGACGTAGGCGCCGACACCGGTCGTCTCCAGACGCTCGCAGTTGCACAGCTTGTAGCGGCTGAAAATAATCGGAATTTGGCGCGTTTCTCTCTCTCTCTCTCATCTGATACCGTACTCCATCGGGTCCTCCTGCTGCTGCGAAGGTGCGACCGCCTGCTCGTAGATGTTACCCGAAGATGAGCACTTGCTGACCGAGCTGCTGACCGGGTAGCTGGCCGGGTTGCTCTGAAAGTTTTCAAAGACGTTGCTTGAGCAATAGATATTGCACGCACCACTTCCTCAGTCAGCGACACGGAGCCGGTGCTGCTTGGCGGGGTCGAGGGGGACGTGGCGGCACTCGCCGAAATTGATGCCGAAGCGGTAGATGAATATTGGGAAGGGAGACGCTGACGGGCACGTTGACGCTCACGCAGCATCGAAGCGCGCTCGGAGTGGAGCGGCGAGTCGGTTTCCTGAAGATGGTGGAATAAGCCTGCTAAGCCTACGCCTATAGGCCCATCTGCCCCTTCCCCCCGATAACGCGCAAGAACCGCCCATTGAAACAACCTCGTAGTCACTCTGCAAAGACCGTCCAGAAGTGGCTTCCGAGGCGCTCTCTTTCTCGTCCTCCCCTTCCGCTTTCCGAGACGCGTCGGGCCCTGAACTTGCCGAGGTTGTGGCAGCGTGTTTGGGGCTACCCGGATCAGTGCGTGCCATCTCGTTACCAGCACACACGCGCCACACCATCGGGTCGAGCTGGCTAAACACGGGATTTCCTTGAGAAATTCCTGAAGGATCTCTGCTCGTTAGCCACTGACGAGGTGGTGCCGGGACGAGCTGGGCGACGAGCCACTGATCGATCGTTGATCAGGATCGCCTTCTGCTTCTCAATCTCCTTCCAGACGCCTTCAAAGTGAGGCGCGTTGCCCGGCGAGTCCGCCTTAACATAATCAACTATCAACTATAATAATTTTCTTGACGCGTCCGTCTGTCCGTCTGTGTGAAGCCGAATTCAACTCGAAGGGGAAAGGAGCTAGAGCTTAGCTCTCTTCGGATTCGGATAGAGCGTGGTCAGAAACCCCCAAACTGATAAAAAAATTATTAAAAAGTTTTAGTTTAAATTATTAAAATTAACTTTGAAAGTTTTTCCTTAGTAAAAGGAGTGGGGGCCCCTTTCCCGGGAGGCCACGCCCCTTTCTCTTCGCCCATCTTCCCAGGCCCCTTCCCGCGCCCAAATAGCTTTTTAAGTTACTTTAATACTTTTAATACTTTTTAATACTTTTTAATACTTTTTAATTATTATGCTAATTAATTATTTAAATCATCTGAAGCCATCGGGAAGGTATTTAGGTAGTTTTTAAAGGGGATTTCAGCCATGGGGGGTATCCGAAGCCATCAGGAAGGTATTTAGGTAGTTTTTGAAGGGGATTTCAGCCATGGGGGGTATCCGAAGCCATCAGGAAGGTATTTAGGTAGTTTTTGAAGGGGATTTCAGCCATGGGGGGTATCTGAAGCCATCGGGAAGGTATTTAGGTAGTTTTTGAAGGGGATTTCAGCCATGGGGGGTATCTGAAGCCATCAGGAAGGTATTTAGGTAGTTTTTGAAGGGGATTTCAGCCATGGGGGGTATCTGAAGCCATCAGGAAGGTATTTAGGTAGTTTTTGAAGGGGATTTCAGCCATGGGGGTATCTGAAGCCATCGGGAAGGTATTTAGGTAGTTTTTGAAGGGGATTTCAGCCATGGGGGGGTATCCGAAGCCATCAGGAAGGTATTTAGGTAGTTTTTGAAGGGGATTTCAGCCATGGGGGGTATCCGAAGCCATCAGGAAGGTATTTAGGTAGTTTTTGAAGGGGATTTCAGCCATGGGGGGTATCTGAAGCCATCGGGAAGGTATTTAGGTAGTTTTTGAAGGGGATTTCAGCCATGGGGGTATCCGAAGCCATCAGGAAGGTATTTAGGTAGTTTTTGAAGGGATTTCAGCTATGGGGGGGTATCTGAAGCCATCAGGAAGGTATTTAGGTAGTTTTTGAAGGGGATTTCAGCCATGGGGGGTATCTGAAGCCATCAGGAAGGTATTTAGGTAGTTTTTGAAGGGGATTTCAGCCATGGGGGGTATCTGAAGCCATCAGGAAGGTATTTAGGTAGTTTTTGAAGGGGATTTCAGCCATGGGGGGGTATCTGAAGCCATCAGGAAGGTATTTAGGTAGTTTTTGAAGGGATTTCAGCCATGGGGGGGGTATCTGAAGCCATCAGGAAGGTATTTAGGTAGTTTTTGAAGGGGATTTCAGCCATGGGGGGGGTATCTGAAGCCATCAGGAAGGTATTTAGGTAGTTTTTGAAGGGGATTTCAGCCATGGGGGGGGTATCTGAAGCCATCAGGAAGGTATTTAGGTAGTTTTTGAAGGGATTTCAGCCATGGGGGGTATCGAAGCCATCAGGAAGGTATTTAGGTAGTTTTTGAAGGGATTTCAGCCATGGGGGGGTATCTGAAGCCATCAGGAAGGTATTTAGGTAGTTTTTGAAGGGATTTCAGCCATGGGGGGGTATCTGAAGCCATCAGGAAGGTATTTAGGTAGTTTTTGAAGGGGATTTCAGCCATGGGGGGGTATCTGAAGCCATCAGGAAGGTATTTAGGTAGTTTTTGAAGGGGATTTCAGCCATGGGGGGTATCTGAAGCCATCAGGAAGGTATTTAGGTAGTTTTTGAAGGGGATTTCAGCCATGGGGGGGTATCTGAAGCCATCAGGAAGGTATTTAGGTAGTTTTTTGAAGGGGATTTCAGCCATGGGGGGGTATCTGAAGCCATCAGGAAGGTATTTAGGTAGTTTTTGAAGGATTTCAGCCATGGGGGGTATCTGAAGCCATCAGGAAGGTATTTAGGTAGTTTTTGAAGGGGATTTCAGCCATGGGGGGGTATCTGAAGCCATCAGGAAGGTATTTAGGTAGTTTTTGAAGGGATTTCAGCCATGGGGGGTATCTGAAGCCATCAGGAAGGTATTTAGGTAGTTTTTGAAGGGGATTTCAGCCATGGGGGGGTATCTGAAGCCATCAGGAAGGTATTTAGGTAGTTTTTGAAGGGGATTTCAGCCATGGGGGGGTATCTGAAGCCATCAGGAAGGTATTTAGGTAGTTTTTGAAGGGGATTTCAGCCATGGGGGGTATCCGAAGCCATCAGGAAGGTATTTAGGTAGTTTTTGAAGGGGATTTCAGCCATGGGGGTATCTGAAGCCATCGGGAAGGTATTTAGGTAGTTTTTGAAGGGGATTTCAGCCATGGGGGTATCTGAAGCCATCAGGAAGGTATTTAGGTAGTTTTTGAAGGGGATTTCAGCCATGGGGGGTATCTGAGGCCATCAGGAAGGTATTTAGGTAGTTTTTGAAGGGGATTTCAGCCATGGGGGGTATCTGAAGCCATCAGGAAGGTATTTAGGTAGTTTTTGAAGGGGATTTCAGCCATGGGGGGTATCCGAAGCCATCAGGAAGGTATTTAGGTAGTTTTTGAAGGGGATTTCAGCCATGGGGGGTATCTGAAGCCATCGGGAAGGTATTTAGGTAGTTTTTGAAGGGGATTTCAGCCATGGGGGTATCTGAAGCCATCAGGAAGGTATTTAGGTAGTTTTTGAAGGGGATTTCAGCCATGGGGGGTATCTGAAGCCATCAGGAAGGTATTTAGGTAGTTTTTGAAGGGGATTTCAGCCATGGGGGGTATCTGAAGCCATCGGGAAGGTATTTAGGTAGTTTTTAAAGGGGATTTCAGCCATGGGGGGTATCCGAAGCCATCAGGAAGGTATTTAGGTAGTTTTTGAAGGGGATTTCAGCCATGGGGGGTATCCGAAGCCATCAGGAAGGTATTTAGGTAGTTTTTGAAGGGGATTTCAGCCATGGGGGGTATCTGAAGCCATCGGGAAGGTATTTACGTAGTTTTTCAAGGTGATTTCGTCTAAGGGAGGTATCTGTAGCCATTAGCGGGGGTATTTTTGGAAAGGTAGGGATGGATGTGATGGTGTATGGCATGAAGGGAAGCCCGAAGGCCAGATGGTTACAGTCGCGAAGCGACTGGAACCATCTGGTCAACTATAATAATTTTCTTGACGCGTCCGTCTGTCCGTCTGTGTGAAGCCGAATTCAACTCGAAGGGGAAAGGAGCTAGAGCTTAGCTCTCTTCGGATTCGGATAGAGCGCCGTCAGAAACCCCCAAACTGATAAAAAAATTACGAAAAAGTTTTTGTTTAAATTATTAAAATTAACTTTGAAAGTGGCGCCTTAATAAAACGAGTGGGGGCCCCTCTCCCCGGGAGGCCACGCCCCCTTTCTCTTCGCCCATCTTCCCCAGGCCCCTTCCCGCGCCCAAATAGCTTTTTAAGTTACTTTAATACTTTTAATACTTTTTAATACTTTTTAATACTTTTTAATTATTATGCTAATTAATTATTTAAATCATCTGAAGCCATCGGGAAGGTATTTAGGTAGTTTTTAAAGGGGATTTCAGCCATGGGGGGTATCCGAAGCCATCAGGAAGGTATTTAGGTAGTTTTTGAAGGGGATTTCAGCCATGGGGGGTATCCGAAGCCATCAGGAAGGTATTTAGGTAGTTTTTGAAGGGGATTTCAGCCATGGGGGGTATCTGAAGCCATCGGGAAGGGATTTAGGTAGTTTTTGAAGGGGATTTCAGCCATGGGGGGTATCTGAAGCCATCGGGAAGGGATTTAGGTAGTTTTTGAAGGGGATTTCAGCCATGGGGGGTATCTGAAGCCATCGGGAAGGGATTTAGGTAGTTTTTGAAGGGGATTTCAGCCATGGGGGTATCTGAAGCCATCGGGAAGGATTTAGGTAGTTTTTGAAGGGGATTTCAGCCATGGGGGGTATCTGAAGCCATCGGGAAGGGATTTAGGTAGTTTTTGAAGGGGATTTCAGCCATGGGGGTATCTGAAGCCATCGGGAAGGGATTTAGGTAGTTTTTGAAGGGGATTTCAGCCATGGGGGGTATCTGAAGCCATCAGGAAGGTATTTAGGTAGTTTTGAAGGGGATTTCAGCCATGGGGGTATCTGAAGCCATCGGGAAGGGATTTAGGTAGTTTTTGAAGGGGATTTCAGCCATGGGGGTATCTGAAGCCATCGGGAAGGGATTTAGGTAGTTTTTGAAGGGGATTTCAGCCATGGGGGTATCTGAAGCCATCGGGAAGGGATTTAGGTAGTTTTTGAAGGGGATTTCAGCCATGGGGGGTATCTGAAGCCATCGGGAAGGGATTTAGGTAGTTTTTGAAGGGGATTTCAGCCATGGGGGGTATCTGAAGCCATCGGGAAGGGATTTAGGTAGTTTTTGAAGGGGATTTCAGCCATGGGGGTATCTGAAGCCATCAGGAAGGTATTTAGGTAGTTTTTGAAGGGATTTCAGCCATGGGGGTATCTGAAGCCATCGGGAAGGGATTTAGGTAGTTTTTGAAGGGGACTTCAGCCATGGGGGATATCTGAAGCCATCAGGGAGGTATCTAAGTAGTTTTTGAAGGGGATTGCAGCCATGGGGGATATCTGAAGCCATCAGGGAGGTATTTTGGTAGATTTTTAACGGAATTTCGACCCGGAGGGGTATCTGAAGCCATCGGGAAGGTAGCTATGTTTTTGTGGGGGGGTTGGCTAGAGGAGGTATCTGAAGCCATCAGTGTAGTTATTGCCATGAAGGCATCAGCGTAAGGTAGGGATTAAATGTGGTGGTGTAGAATATGGAGGGTGGCCCGAAGTCCAGCCGATTGCAGTCGCGAAGCGGCTGTAATCGGCTGGTTTGCATATGGTGGAGGGAGAAAGCGGAAGTACCTGATGGTAGAAACCGTGCTCGCGCATCGGATGGATGGCAATGATTCGGTTTACGTTGAAAATTATCTGTCGTAATCAAATGTCGGATGCAAATTGGAATAAAAATAATTTTAAGTAGGTTTTTTGGTTTTTTTGCTTCTTATAACTGTGCGTCAATGGGCATTAAGCGTAATATCTTTTAATTTATTCGCCCCAAAATTCCCGTCCAATTTCTTCAGTATCTAATTCTTCTTATGTGTCCACGTGAGGACGTTGTTGGTGCGTTGCGCGGCGACATTCAGATCGATCAGCCCCACCGTGCGCAGAGTCAAAATTCGGCGCAGCGCGTTGTACGACGACGTCTGCACGTTCACGTTCAGCTAGAAAAATTGTGGTTAAATAAATTTCATGGCCTGATTCTGACCTTGTTGCCGTTCCAGTAGAAACTCGTGTAGTCGGGCGTGTACGCGTAGCCAAAGATTTCGATGACGTCAAGGGTGGGAAGGGTTAGCTGAATGTTTTTCTTAGACGTAAAATTTCGTGGGTGCTTTGGCATTAGCGGGGGGCTTAAATTCTGAAATATGGTAGAAAAACCTGAATTTCTTGCATTTTTTAACTAGTAAGGTTTCTACGTTTAGGCATGGTAAAAGCCAGTTTAGAAACACTTCTTCTCTTTGTATCTGAAAAATAGAGGCCCTGAGAAAATGGAATAGTTACCCCCCCGATAATGCGAAAGTGTCTGGAAGTCTCGTTAAGCTCAAGTTCAAGCCGTTCAACCCTTGAACTCACCTCCATCGGACTGCTACACCCAATATTCACTGTCGCTTGACCGTCGGTGGCCGCATACGAAAAGTTGAAGTAGAAATGGGGATTGCTCAAGATGTCGTCGGACAACGATTCACCGTCATCATAATAGAGTTCGCCGGTTGAACCGCCATTTCCGGCTGGAAAAAGGACAAATTTGGGGAGTACGTGTTGCTCCTTACCGACAGTGATCAGGATCTCGAACGGGTTCTTCCGGGCGGCAGTGGTGGTTGTGGCGGGGCCTTGGCGGGGGAGGATGTAGCCGCCTCAAAAGTTGGCATATGCCGGAAGGTATTTATTTATTTTCAAAAAATTTGGTAAATTTAGCGTGTCTTGCTTGTGGGATCGAGTATGCGAAATGGCGGCTTTTTCTAGCAGTTTTGTAAGGGGGGAAGCTACATTTCTGCCTAGGCCTAAACCCAAAACCTACCCCTCACAAAAACGGGCGTCAGTGCCGTGGTGAGGGCTGGGACGGTGTTGAAGCCGACGGGCATCTAGCGTTTTGTCATGTGGAAATGGTAACATCCCGTACCTGCTGTCCATATGTCTCATTCTGGAGTGAATACCAACGATCCGAGGGGAAATAGGCGCGGACGGTTGTGACGCCCTGAAATGGCGAGGATCGATTGTTAGACGGTATATCGGAATTGAGAGAATGCGAAAATACCGACACACTGAAAGCGGTGAGGCCAAAATGCCGAAATCCGGATTTTTCGTCAAATCGAACTTTTTCTCTGGCTGTCGGGATTATGGCTCCCGGGATTTTGTGGGTCGGGATTATTACCGGAATTCAGTAAGATTACCGGATCCAGCGCCGGGGCAATCATCAACGCCGACCCCCACAAGAATTGACGGTCGATGGTGAACGTCTCGGAATCGGTGGGAAATTCGAAGAAGAGTGGCCGGATGACGGTCGCGCCGAATAGGGAGGCGCGGTAGTGGAGGCTACAAAACATAGGCTGTATCATAAAAAACAGAATCTAGCCACGGACCCTATTAATGCATCGGTTCTAGAAAAACATCCAACAAATACCTGTACAGATACGGTAGGTATTGATAGCGGAACATTAGCGCAATCTTGGCCGCCAACGCGACGGAGGGCCAGACGGCTGGATCTTGTGCCGGGTCTCCCTGGAAAACGGTTATATGTAATTTGCAGCTACAGTATGCCGCATTTCGCACAGTGTCATTCATGCAATTTTTTAAGCGTTTTTCTTTGCGTTACCTGCGTGTTGTGATTCCTGGAGAACGAGTGGAAAGCTCCCATTTGATGCCAGCGGAGGCAGAGCTCTTCTGTCGTTTTTCCTAGGACATAAAATAGACGAAAACGGCTTTATTCCGTACCGTTAAACCCGCAAATATCCGATCCGACGTAGGGGATGCCGAACAGGTTGAACTCCATCGCACCTGAAAAAGTCCTTGCATCATAAATTTCGTTCACTGCACTAAAAGCCTTAAAAGCGTCTTAAAAACATTAAAATCTAAGATAAAGTATAGATTTTTATCGAAGACCATTTTCAAGGGCCGTTGAAGGCAAATCCATACCAATAACTGACGTCTGCAGATCCTCCCATCTGGCAGTGTTATCCCCGAGCCAATGGCCAGCATAACGACCGGAAGAGATGAACGTTGAGCTGAAATTGAGTCTTCGGTATAGTTTAATGATTAATTCCAAGCATCTTCGACACGTAGCGGTCGGGTCGTGCCATCTGAGAACCGGACAAACCGTGAGATGACGGCTCCACGCTTTCCGGTGGCTGCAGAAAGAGCTGCTGACGTGGCACGAGCCTCGGACCACCCGTAGAGGTTCTGGAATGGAAAAATTCGTAAAAATAACATTATTAAACCAGCGATGAGCGTAATTTTATAGTATCGTAACCCTTACCTTCGTATTGTAGAAGTCTTGCGTACCCCTCGTCGTCTTCCCATTCATACATAACGTTTTCGAGCACAAGTACTCGCCCATACTGAAAAGGATCACCACCAGGTTTTTGGGGTTTATCGAGGAGTACAATAATACGCAGGTTACTGTAGAAAACCTACTGTAAATATACTGCCTGCGTTGGGTAGGGTGGGTTATCCAGCTTTCCGTCGGCTCCTGAATTTTTAGTGGTTCGAGAGAGAATCCGACCGATCCTTGAGAGAAACTACAGTTACTTAATCCCCAATTTTCCAGAGAATCTTGGCCAGCATGCTTGACCCAAGCGCATACCGGATATGGGACAAGCGAGCTTATCCCCCGTCGGTGCCTCGCCATCAATACGATTTGAAGAATAGACGTTCGTGTCAAAGTTTGACGGCTCGTTCATGTCGATCCAGATGCCGTCGAAGCCCAGCTAAAAAAGTAGGCTTAGGCGTAGACTAATAGCGTAGACTTGGATTCAGGCTTGAAGCTTACGGTATTGTGAAAGCGGGCAAATTCGGCGGTCCACCAGTTGTTGGTGATGTTGGCTGGGTCAAGGAAGTCGGGGAAGGCCGTGTTACGTTCGGGCCATACATTTCCTGGAAGGAGAGCGATGAGAGAGAGAGAGAGAGAGAAGACAGAGAGAAAGATAGCCAATCCTCCTAAAACTTACCCAGCATAATCTTCGTATCCTTGGCCATGGGGTATTGGTCCTGGACCTGGTGTGGAACAAGCTCAAATCTCGGCCACTCGATGAAGGAGGCATTCTGAAACATAGCAGAAAGGATTACCGGCTTTCCGATGACTTGCCAAGCCCCTTAAAACCCCACCTGTTGTCTGGCTCTTTGGAAAGAATCGTAGTCGACCTCGATGGCCGGGTCGAAGATCAGGATCAGATGCAGGCCCTGCGTATGGAGTTGCTTCGCGTAGTCCGGGAACCCGGCCCACTTCTAGACAAATGAAATTAATAAAATTCGAGTAAATTAAATTGGCAAATGGTACCTAAAATAAGGAAGAATGCTAAAGCATTACATTTAAAAATAACCCACATCTCCCTCGGTAAAATCCTCATAATGGCTCATATAGTCAATGTCGGCATACGGTACGTCAAGCGGAATGCCGGCGGCCTGATTTCTGGCAATGACCGCCTTCATCTCGTCCAAATCCGCGTAGCCCCAGCGGCACAACTTAACGGATGCGTTGTTCAACTACAGGACCCAGTACCTGATACCCGAGGGCCCAATAGGCAGGCAGGAACGGACGGCCGATGTAGGCGAGAAAGCCCTGGAATTCAGCAGGTTCAGTTAGTTATGCAAAATAATAAATAGAAATAAATATTTAACCGACTTGAACGACATCTTCGGGTTTGGGTCCCGGGAAGAAGACAATGTCCAATTGGCCGCCAATGGTACGGTAGATGAGGTGGGGGGCTGGGCCAAGGGTGGCCTCCTGGAAAGGCGAGATTTTGGAAATTAAGAAAATTTAATGTGGGCGGCTCGATCCATTTAGACCCATCTGTGCTCGTTCCCAACCTGTGCATTGCTGTTGATGATCAGCACACCGTGGCTTTTCCCGTCGGGTTCGACGCCTGAAGTATAGTCAAAGGTTGGGAAAAACTACCTGAAACGAGAGAGAGGGTGACAGAGTGAGAGTGAGAGAGTGAGAGACAGATAGAGAGAGAGAGAGAGAGAGAGAGAGTTAGTGAGAGAGACCGAGCTAGAGAGCGAGAATGAGAGTGAGAGCGAGAGAATGAGAGAGATCCAGCGAGAGAGAGCGAGTGAGAGTGAGAAAAAAGAGAGACGCGAAATTGTGACCTACAAAGATAGAACGGTTGAGTCCCGTAGAGATTTTGCGTTGAAAGCACGGATCCACTGTCGGGGCCAATGTCACGCGCCAGCATTGGCCATGTTGTGTATCGAGTCATGTCGTGCTAAAACAACGTATATTTTTTGGTTTTTAATACGCAAAATAGACAACAAGCTATGTTTTCATACCTTCATCTTCTTGTGCACGTGCTCCCCAAAACCGAAAATTCGATCCGATGGCAGTAGAGCGGCAATTTGGATGTATTTGTCGGCAAAGAGGAGGCCGCCTAAAAATGGTCGATGTTGAAAATAGAGCTAAGCATTTATCAAATCATGACAGAGTGGAAAAACCGATTTCTACAAATCTCCTACCGATCGACGTATCCCAAAGCGCTCTCCCCGTCGATTGACGCGTTACGGTAAATGCAAAAGTGGCGTTGGATGTCACCTAAATCACCTTTTTAAACGCAATAACCAATAACCTGAAAATTGAGCTGCTCGGCCTGGTTGGCTGGGGGTTGCTTTGGCAAATTTAACTGCGGGGTATACCTCAAAGAAATGAGAATTGGACAGAAAAATAGTTGGCTACCTGCCATCAGTGCCGATGGATAATTGGATGGCATTACCAAGTTTGGACATTTTCAGCGATATCGGGGAGATGTCGTCGCCAAACGGGTTCTTGGGACCGTCATTTTTGGCTGAAATGGGGACGATGGCTTAGGCTTAGGCTTAGCCATGCTTAGGTTAAGCTTGGGCTTAGACTTAGTCTGAGGCATAGGCTTAGGCTTGGGCTTAGACCTAGGCTTAGGATTAGGACTAGGCTTAGGCTTAGGCTTACAAGGAGTCGCTTTTAGGTGCTTTTGGAGTTTCGGGACGGGACCTAGCTAGTTCGATAGAGAAAAAAATTCTGAGCAACATCCCGTTTTCAAAAAGTGCTGATCGATAAAGGTGTTTTGGAAAATTTAATTTAAAGTTCGCGCTTTTTTCTAGTTTTCGGGACCATTTCCTCGGTTCACGTCGTTTTCGGGGCTGGGCAGGGCGCCATTCGTAACCCTCCGCCAATGACTCCATCACAGGTTGCATTGGCGTATTGGTAGCGCGCTTGCCTAACAACTTTTTTAACAATTTTTGTCTCGGGTTCGAATCTTCGCGCTGCCTAAACCTTTGCTTTTTGGTTCTTGAACCCGTCATCGGTGCATAAAATTTTAATTAGCAAAAAAGCAAAAAGTTAACGATAAATAAGAATCGAACTTGTGGCAAAAGGTCAAAAAAACTTCGTAGGCCGACGCACTAGCCACTTGGCCATGCCTAGGACGAGATCCAGGGCGCGTGAAGTCCCCATGTGGCAGGGGCAGTCGACCGCCGCAAATCACCTCAACTCACCACAAGGGTCCGGACACCGGGAACATTTTTAATTAAATTAAATTTTCTGAAACAGCTTTATCGATCAGCACTTTTTGAAAACGGGATGTTGCTCAGAATTTTTTTCTCTATCGAACTAGCTAGGTCCCGTCCCGAAACTCCAAAAGCACCTAAAAGCGACTCCTTGTTAGGCATGGGCATAGGCTTAGGCTTCGTTCTAGGCGCTTGACTCACCAAGCTGAATATTTCCATTCCCATCGTTACTAACGACGTTGTAGCCCGTGGTTGGCGGGAAGTAGCAATACGGAGTGCCGATCGGTGAGCCCTAGATAGTAAGCCGAAGTCTCAGGTATTTTAAAATATTATCAGGGAAAGCGACAGCCAGGTTCAGCGAAAACTTGTTCAAAGCACAACCTACCGCCGGAGCCGGATCCCAATTACAGCCTCGCTGCTTGCAGGACGATTCCGAAGCCCCGGGCTCGGGATAGCAATCGACGCGAGAATTCACATCAACCGCTGAAGCCACCAAACCAATCAAGCCCAAAAATAGGGCCAGACTGGATTGTGGCCGCCCCATAATCCTTAAAGAAAATCGAAATTGAGGATAAGACGAAGACATAAAGCTGCGAATTCGGGGTGCTTTAGCATTATCGGGGGCGGGGGGGGGGGGAAAGGCGAATTTTTCTAGTAGCCCTATAATGCCCAGTTCCATAAACGAAACTACTTAGAATTTATAATTTTTAAGTAGAGTAAAAAACCTTTCCAAAAAATCCTAAATTTTTCCAAAATAATTCGAAATTTTTTGTATTCTGTGGGGAAATTTGAAAAGTTTTAACGCTTAACAATAATAAAAAACGACTTAGAACGACTGCTTGTATTCATTCCAAAAAAATGGGATCCCCAGGAAAAGCCCCTCCCCCGATAATGCAAAATCGGAATTTTTTTGATCTGACGCGGGATTTGTTCAAAGTTTCCGTAGCGTCTGGGGTCGATGGCGTACTGCCCCCAAAAATGTGTGTTATCAAAACGTTATCAGCTGGTAAGGATTTGTCGAGGAGGGCAGACACGAACAATGTGCAATTGCCGGCCAAAACCGTGTAAACCGCATGCTTCGGGAATTGAACGTTTTTTGGGAATGGCCGAGGGCAAGCGATCATCAAAATAAACACTATGCCATCAAAATAAACAGAAAAATGTTTTGAAGGAAGTTGAACAAGATTTTATAGAAATTCGAAATTCATAATGGCGAAATTCATCTTGAAGATGCCGAAATTTAAATGTATCATTTTTTACAAGTAAAAACCGCTCTGAAAATCCCTTAAATACACTGGTAAAAACGCCGACACTATCGATTTCTACAATTTGAAAATCAGCCGCTGAACAGCAGAACAGCAACAGCTTGTCGTTAAAGGTCCGGCAAGGCCAGACGCTAGATTCTTTAGCTTTAGATTCCGCGCGTTGATAGAATTAGATAGAACTGGAGATTTTCAAGCGCGTTGCATGTCGGGCAGTCGAACTATCCCAAAAAATCCATATGGACGGGCCGTGATTTTTCGCGAGACCTAACCGCGAAAAAAGAAAATTTATCAGCAACAAATATTTCCAGCACGACAGGTATATCCAGACGGGCATTGCCCCGCGTAGCACGATCCAAATGGGGCGGCACCGGATGGACATTGCGGGCAACAGTAGCCAGAAGATGAACATCGGTACCCAGAACCGCATCCCTGAAAAGGGACGGGTTTCACTAGCCATCGAGCACAACATATCGCTTCTTAGACGTGCAGGTTCCTTTAATTTTGTCTCACATTTGCGCAGGTGCCAGCCGTCTGTCCATATTGGCATTCACAGCAATAGTTTGAAGACGTGCAGATGAACTGGCCACATTGGGAGGAGACGCATGATGCGAGGGCCGCTTGACCGCCACAAGCGTCTGAAAATGTGTCACTCTCTCTCTCTCTCTCTCTCTCTCTCTCTCTCTCTTCCTCTCTCGCTCTCTGGCCTTCTCTCCATCTCTCTCCCTTTCTCTATCTCTCTCTCTCTCTCTCTCTCTCTCTCTCTCTTTCTCTCTTTCTCTCTCTCTTCCTCACACTGATATTCCAATCCAGTCGTCCGACAGCACAACCCATTCATACAAGTCTGCCCCACCGAACATCCTGAACTCGTTGAACACCTTCCAGTCGCGCGTTGTCCGTTATAGCAAAAGCCTAAACCCATATTAATTATTAATCATGATAACACATCTTGCAAACCATCTACTCAAACCCAAAACGATTATTTTGCCCAGCTACACCCACCCTGAACCCCAATCGGCGGCTGCTGCGTGTAGAAGGGAGATGTGCAGCAACATCCATTCAAACATTGCACCGTTTGGGTCCTAGAAACAGCTAATGTGACGCGTCATTTGCAGCGTCGCGTACGTGTAAGGGGTGCATTGATAGCTGTAGATACAACCAACGCCTATCATCTGCCCGCCATTTGTGCAGTAGCCGTAAATTGGATTGCGCGTCGTTTGCACGCCGTTATTCGAGCAAGCTGCACGATGAAAAAGAATTATGATAAAAACGTTCATTGAGTTAGGATGATTTTTATATCATTCGAAAGCTGGGAGATGGCGAATTTTTCAATGTGGTTATGTTGAGATTTTAGGCGAATTTGTTGTTAATGAACGTGTCGCATTTTCGGTTGTCTTTTTGGGTGAAAAAGCGAGCTTTTGCAAAATTGAGCTGCCTCAGATGCGAAAATGAGCTATGTATAGAAAATATCTTTCTTCTCTGTCATTTCGCCTTTGGTTTTCCTTATCGCTTGCCTACTCTTTCTCTCTCTCTCTTTCTCTCTCACTCTGTTTCCCTCTTCCCCCCTCTCTCTATCTTTCTAACTTTATTGTGGCACCCTATGAAATAGCAAAATCCATTATGATACGACTCAAACTTACCATAATATGAATAATATTGATTAGGATAGATACCGCAGACGTAGTATTGTCTCTTCGCCCTTTTTACCGGCACCAAATCATAGGTGGCCAATGCCGCGCAAAATAATGTAAAAAGTGTCACGAGAAGCATAGCAGAACGCTGTGGAGCCTTTCGAAATTCCAAAAACTCGGCCGGCTTTCAGGACGGGCAGATTTTATGCGCAAAACTGATGATGGGCTGAGGGGGGTGTTTGGACAGCCGTTTTGCGTGTGTGACTTGGGCACCGCCATTCATTCTCAATATTCTCCGAATATATCTCGGCATTTCTGGCCATTAGCTTTTTTTAAGGGGAAAACACGGAACTGTGGTCGCCATTTTTTTGTGGTGATGCTGGGAATGGAACAGAATGGAATACGAGCAAAACCAGAAATGGGGCATCAAAGGGCGAGGCACCGTTTTAAAGGTAAGGGCAAGGCATAGCGATAAACCTTGCTGGCTGTGGATTCTGGAGCTTTCACATTATCGGGGGATCGACTTTTTCTTAAACTTTATTTTAGGATTTCTTCTAATAATATGGATAGAGGAAGTGTTTCTAAGCTTTTTTCATTGCTAACTGCAAAACTTCCGAAATTTATAAACATCCAAAAAACCGATTTCGACCAGAAAATTTATGATTTTTAAAATTTTGCTATAGATGTTTAGATTTTTGGATTTGGATATAGTTTTATGTAGATTTAGCTGTTTTTCCGTTAGGAGATCTATCTCAAAAGCCTAGAAAATTGAAAATTAAAAATCCTCCTGTTTCTTTGGAAAAGTAGATATTTTTGTATTTTTTCAAAAACTTCTGTAGTTTTTGCGCATAGGATAGTGAAAGCTCTATAAAAGTAGCCAAAATGGAATCCAAAGCAGAACAATTTGGTTCCCTCCCCCGATACTGCGAAAGCCCCCGTTTTCCATCTTAGTTGTCGGCACCACAACGAACAAGAACACAAGAAATGTTTTTATTTCAACAAGATGGATATGGTAGCTTGGGCGCGGGTTTGTTCGAGGAGATGTTCAGATCAGTGGCCGGCACGGTGGCGGTGCGGTACTCGTTGGACTGGAAGGAGTTGTTGGTTTGGCAGCGTTCAGGTAGATTACCATCACTTGCTGCTGGCCACCGAAAGAGTGGACTTCGGGTCACCGGGTGACATAGGAACCTTGCGGTGAGCCTAGAAACAAGCTTAGGGTTCGGCTTAGGTTGGGCTTCGGCTTAGCTTAAACTTAAGCTTTTTATGCCTATACTTGGGCTTCGGAGGCTTAGGCTTCAGACATGATAAAAATCCGAACCAGCTTCTTCCTCCTGATCTTCTTTTTCTTCAAGACGAGAACGAGCACGACGGCCAGGACGGGGAAAAGGCACCACATCACCAGGCTAAGAAAGAAGACTGCAAAACGTGGAAAAATCATTGAAATCGCTTGATAGACCCACGGGTATCCATATTGTCGACTGAATACAGTTGGTTGCTTCGTTACAAGACGTAGAAAGATTTCCAGGCAAGGCATTTCTCTTTTTATAGTCGCGGAAACGCAATGGATGGTAATTATAGTAGTTAGCATTGAAATTAGATGGATTATAAACACCATTGCTAATTTTTGTTGATCAGTCTTAAAGGGACTGGCAAGCCAGGATCACGAATTTCTCTCACCAACGATTCCGCATAAGCCTGATCCTAAGCCTAAGCCTAATTCTAAGCACAACCTAAGCCTAAAGCTATGCCGAAGCCTAAGCCCAACCCTTAGCCTAAGCCTAAGCCTATTACCTATTTTTGATGCCGTTCTTACCCTCTGACTTGTCACGTGCATTATCACGGAATTTGCTAGGCGGGTCGGGGCGGAACGGCCATTCCTCCAACTTGTGCGTCAAAACCTTGCCTGCCAGGCGGGCAATAATTGCACCCAACTCGTGGCCGCCCGCGGGGCTTCACCTCGTAAACTGGTCGCCTGCAACCTGCGAAAAAACGCTTAAAAGATCCGATTTCAGGAAGAGGGGGGCAACACCTATGAATAGCCCATAAATGACAAGTGTTCGGATCTTTGGCCTGTCCCGAATATTGGAGAGTTATTTTTGACAGTAAATGGGTCTTAAAGGGTTGCGGAGTCAAAAGTTCCTATTTGAGATTTGCCTTACAAGATGTAACAAAAGTACAGAAATTCTAAAAAACTTAGTAACTAGCGTAACCGGTAAAAATACGAAGACCAGGTTAGTGAATTGAATTTTCCTAAGCAAATTGTTTTACTAAAACTCGATAATCGTATTTTATTAGCTGGATTATCTTCGAAGGCGTGTTTAGGTGTAGCGCGTAGCTGTCGAGGCCTAGTCGCCGGTGGGGTCTTTTTTGGTGTTTGGCATTATCGGTGGGGGGAGGGACGAGTTTATCAGGGGAAAAACCATCTTTGTTTCTTTAATCTCAAAATTTTTTCATGCAAACAAAGAAATTATTTCAAATTATTTATTATTATTATTTCTAAACTAAAAAATCTGGCAAGGTTTTAGCAAAAAAAGCCAAAATAAAATATTGATCTTGCGACCCAAAGTTTAACTTTTCGAAAATTTTTACATAGTTTTTCGGCTTGAAATATGGATATAAATAATGCTTTTTCCGTTGCTAGAAATCTACGGAACTTGACGAAAGGCGGTTACCCCGAAACCCCCCCCGATAATGCGAAAGTTCCGGGCAAACATGCCTTTCGCGTTCCTTTAGGATTGACCCCTGAGGATGACCCAATTCTTCGACCAAACTTCGAACCCTTGTTTTCCCTCCAATATTCAGAGCATCAAAGAATTGCCACGATTGTGGCGGGGGATCTTTTTGGTTCCGCGTGGCTCCGCCCCATTCAGGCTGTGAGCATACCGCGTATTCTCCGGATTCTCGCGGCCACCCCCGATAACGGCCAGGTCAAATTCGATTGCGGGGCACTTTTTGATACCGTAACCCTGGGCCTTTTCGAAAACTAGCCGAGCATCCTTAGTGTTGACCTAGGACACGTTTTTCCAGAACTCTACAGTACCCTACGCAACGCTACGGTAGAGAATGGTGGTGCATGTGGGCGAGTTGTGCTTGATCGCTTCGGGGGCATTGACACTCGCATCGACCCTGTTCGTGATGGCCGGTTCATTTGGGGACGGTAGGATACGGTGATCAGGTCACTCATTAGAAGACGAACTTTTCAGACTGGGTGCACGTCGACAATGTTAAGGTTGGTGACAAATTCTGAATGGAATAGTGGTATATTGTAATCAGGAAAGTAAGCAAAAAAATATAAGAGCTTTTAAAGGGTCGAGAAAGCTCTGGAATCCCACAGCATTCCGCCCTTTACCAGTTGTGTTCGTTTGACCGGGACAGGATGGCAGGCAAACAGGGGAAGGGAAAATCTGCGCTCTGGCCCCGCCCCCCTGTTCTCTTCCCCCGTGCCCTATAGACTAGTCTCACTCTTTCGCCGCCTATTCCGCGCCCCACCCCACCCCTGTGTGTCTGCACCCCGTCGTCTGGCGCACTATCCGCCAGCCTACTCACGAACACCGCGGAATCATGTGAATCCTTATGGATTTGGGTTTGGACGCGACACGCAACGCATGCGCCCTCTCTTTCATGACGTAATCAATTACGATACCTTTTGTTAGCCGTTTCCGGTACTTAGCCAGTCTTAATTTCCGGTACTGCTCGTCCCTTTAAACAACCAGAAAAAGCGATAACATTCAGCGATGGTGATCATACAAGAATTGATCAGCGATTCGTAATCTTGCAGAAATGATGAGAATTCCAGAAGCAAAAGAGCAGCCATTTTTTTTCTTGGTAACTGCTCCAAATTCCATACATTACGTACGAACTCCGAAATTTGCAGGGGTTCAGTATGACGGTGGGGATGTTGCCGAGCCGATGCTCCGATTATCCGAGTGACATGTCGGACATTGACCCCGATATTGACATTAATGCATACTGTGATGAGCTGAGGAAGGTGTGTTTTAGCGTTTTAAAGAGGACACATCAGCGTCAAGGGTGGGAAGTCATACTTTAGGCCATAACAAACGCGGTGGGGCATGAAGCTGGTGCCCTCCTGGTTCCGGCTGTGGTTGGAGACATCCTGACGATCGCCATCTTTGGGCTGCTCTGGTGGAGGAGCAAACAGGCTGTTGTTAGAAAGGTAGAGGGTTTTACTAAAGGAAGAGAGGAGAGAGAGAGAGAGAGAGGGAGTGAGAGAGTAAGTGAGTAAGTGCGTGCGAAGTTTGCCGTGAACCGCTGATATCTGCGTGCAATAGACCCTTTTCCCTCCCTTTCCACTCCCTATTGCAACTAATTACTAATCGGCTCGTGGCCTCCACCAGTGCCTCAAGTTCGGCTTCAGCTTATCGAAATGCGCGAGGAGAGGAGGGGTGGGGGGGTAAAGCCGATTTGGAAGTAGGGCTGTGGTGTCGAATTGTGGGGGTCGAAAAGACCGCTGCGGACCATCGCACGAAAAACACTGATATCGCCCCGTGGCCAAGGCTCAAAAAGACAGGCGCATTTTGATCGAAAGGACTGAGCAGCAGCATTGAGCAGTTGGGCGGGTGAAGTGAACTGCTTGAAGGTGTTGGGCTTGGGCTTAGGCTTAGGTTGCGGCGTAGAGTTAGGTTTAGGTTTCGGCACAGACTTGGCCTGGGAATTGGCTTATGTAGATGCCCAGACTTGGGCTTAAGAAGCGCTTGAGCTGGCTTAAGCCGAGCTTAAACTCAGCCTCCCAGGCAACATCTTCAAACGAGAGATACTCGTTTTTCCAGCTGTGTCTAATCCTGGTGGCCGTCATCCAGCTAGCCGTCGCCATTCTGGCCATCGTCGAGGCGGCGCACGTCCTGAAGAATGTGAAAAACAACAAGGGATTGATGGCGGGTATGGTAGCCGAGGGCAACTTTTCGAGTTCCGCGTTTCAGCTGAAGGTCTCTCGGCCTTGGGCCTTGGCTGGTGCATCGATATTCTGATCATCGGAGGAGCTGCGTCGATCCTGGGTGCGTTCCAAGGGCTCATTTCAATAATTTGAAAACCTGGGATGTTGAAATTCAGCTCTAACATTGTTAAATTACGACATTATAATTTTTTCTGCTGACACTGAGACAAAAAAGCTTAGGAGATTAAGGAACTTCATCGCTACTTTCAAAAAAAAACCGGTAATCTTTCAGCCTCTCCCTTGGCCATCATCTCATTGGTGTTCCCTGCCGCTGCACCTGTCATTGTCGACTCTTCTCGAACTGCTACCGTCTCTACCACAAGGAAAATACCGTTGCCCTGATACCGCTACGAGACCAGAATTGGGACCTGAAAAGACTGTACATAGATATATCGAGATTCCTTATGCATAAATCGTTTAAGAATGCAGGTTTTTGGATGTGCGGTCCTTTAATGGACCTTTAGGGGTGAGCTGCGCGTTTTTACAGTTTTTCCGCGCGACACGCAACGCGAGCGGCGCGCGTTGCGTTACGTATCGCGGAAAAGCTCCAAAGCCGTGGTCCGGCCTTAAACGTCCCTTTAAAGTAACCAGCCACGGAGCCAACAGGTCTCGGGGCAACGTACGAAGCGTATAAAGGAGCCGAGCGGAACGGTATAATTTCCCCAGCCCCACCCCAATTATAAGCCCACCGGGGTGTTACGCTCTTTCTGAGGAAGCGCTCCATTGTTGGCCATTTTCGGCAATTTTCGATTTTTACTATGCGCACCCCTATCATCCAGTTATACGGCCGAAATTAGGAGGTATTTCAGGCGGTACTTAAGGTTGTTAGGGGGTCGAATTCGCTTTCGCGGGTTGCGCGCCTTGAAATTTCCTCAAGTATCGCTGCAACCAACCCCCCGATAATGCACGGGCACCGCTTCTTCTAGACTTCCCGATTCGGAATTTTTTCAGAGGTCCAAGTCTTTTTTTAACTAGCTGTGTCTGTTGCCAATTGCTCATGTCAATCCCCCCTTTAAAAAGGCAGAGAAAGTTTACTTTATTTCGTATAAAAGCCCTTCTCCCGTTCTACGAACAATTAAACTTGTCCCGGCACTTGTACTCTTGCTTCTCCGAACCCAAATTTCGCGAGCCGGCGACAAAATGGCGCTTTATAATGGCACTCGACAGTCTTCCCGGTTGTCTGTTTGTCTGTCTCCTCTCCCCTACGGGACGCTCCTCACTACAGTCTCCAAAAAAGGAAAAGCCGTCCCCCAAGCAGCGGATTCTATTGTGGTCATCATTCCATCCTTCATCCCTTTCTCTCGCCCCCTTTCTTTTTGGCATATCTTTTTCGGGATGACCTTCAAATGCCCGTCGTCCACCCGCTGCCCCATTCATTTCATTTTGCCCAATTTCTGTTCCGATATTAAGACAAGGCTTTTGATTTGTTGTTTCCCCTGGTTTTGGTTGCTTAGCGGGGGGGGGGGGGCTTTAGGGCGTTCCCTTTCCCAATCGGAGCCCCCCCCCCCCCACCGCTAACGAACCAGAACCGTTGTCCTTTATCTAGCAAGTTAGCAGGAATTCTTTGAAATTTTGCAAGAAATTAAAGTACGCAATACTCGTTTTTACCTAAAACGACATTAAAATTGAAAATAATATTTTAATTAGTATTACTTTAAAGGGGCATAAGATCCCAAAAATCGACGCGTTTCTTCGACTAGGTCTCGGCAGCTAACCCGCCTTTACCTTCAAGAATTCGCCATTAGCGTGCTTTTAAATGGGCTGGAACCCAAGGCTCGACCCTTGCCATTGGCTTCGTCTTGACATTTATTCGAAGTGGTTCATTCTGAAGCGGATCAGTTATTTCCTGTGATCGCCGACACCTAGTCTCCGAGAGTGGTCAAATCCCAGCCCTTCCCAGTCCCTTTAAAAGAGGGTTAAGGCCGATTTCGGGAGGTGGTGACGTAGCTGGGTTACTGTGAGACCTAGCCAACCATAGAGGGGTCAAATTCTAGCACTTCTCAGTTTCTTTAAGTTAAATCTCGACAACGGCACAAAAGCTTGACAATTGAGGGAAAACCTTCAGAATATAGTGTGCAAATTGGACGCGCTTGGAATAGAGGGGTTCCCACCTTTTATAGATATTCGCAGCAAGCTGATAGGTTTTTGGAGGCACTATGACTCAGGATAGTTTCCCAAAAAAAAGCCCTGAAAATGCTGCCTTTCTCGTGACGTCACAAAGGGTAGTAGAGGGATGGAAAACCCATCATTCCCACCCTTGTCGTCCACCATTTTCAGCGGAAAAAGAGGGTGGAGCATGAGTCAGCTTGGGGTTTGACCTTCGCGCTTCTCGCTCTCTCGCTTTCTCTCGCTCTCTCTTGACTCATAACAGCAACAATCCCTCCGTCCGCTTCACGGATTGGGTACAAATACTGCGGGTTGGGTGTCCAGAGGACGGAAGCAGAACAGCGTATTTTTAGCTACCGTAAATTTGCCTCTTAAGATACTTTAAGTTATTTATTTAGATCTACTTTCATTTTTGTCATCGTTTTTGGTTCTATAACATCAATAAACTCCAGAATGCTGTCCATCGTCTTAATATTGGCGATCGTTGCCGGACCCATCCAGGCGACCTTCGGTGGTTGTTGTGGTGGGGCCTATATGCCACCTCCTCCAATGCCTTGTCCACCACCTCCAATGTGCCCACCTCCACCTCCTCCATGCCCTCCACCACCGCTATGTCCGCCACAGGTATGCTTAAAGGAACGGGGAAGTCAACATTGTGGTCGCTGCCCCAAAAATGGCGTCAAAAAAGTGTTTTCGAGTTCAGACAAGGGGTTAAAGAAAGCCTTATCAGCCCTTTAAATCCAATGTTCAGTTCTGCCCACCTCCTCCGATGTGTCCACCACCTCCCCCGCCTCCTCCTCCTCCAATGTGCCCACCTCCACCTCCACCCTGTATGAGCTATGCTCCCCCACCACCAATGCTCCCGCCAATGCCGCAGGTAGGACAGTTTTCATGAGATTGACGAGAATCTACCCCTTCCTGCAGCTGGGTGTTGACAGCTACGCGAGGCGCCGAGTAATCCTCCAAACCGAAGGCTTACTTGAAGCATCGGGTAGTTATCGACACCTAGTCAGCCCATGTCGTAGCTTTCGACACCTTTGAGCCCCTTCAAGAAAACTGAAAGGCAAAAAAAACATTTTTAGTACGTAGCCCCACCTGCCAACGACTGTTGCTGTAGATGTGGAACCCCATGTGCATTCAAGGTTTAAGAATTCGAGTTTTTCGGTACAAAAAAATGTTCATTTAGGCCCGCCGCGCACGGACGATGGGCTCGAAACTGTTCGAGTTGGGGAGCCACAATGAAGAGGAGGAGCTCGACCCGACCTGCTCGAGCAAGAAGTTGAAGCAGGTTTTATCGGAGGTGGGTCTTGCGTATTTCAACGCATCGTAAGGTAACGTTGCGGCTGCTTCTCTTCAAATTGTTCCCCACCCCAACCTTTCCAGTTCATGACCAACGACCCGAGCGAGTCGAAACGCGCCGTCCAACGTGAGGCCGAGGCCCGACTGTTTGGTAGGTGTCCAGGGGATTGTCATGTAGCCTTCCCGCCTTTTCAGGAAAGTTCAACGTCATCTGCGCGGCCGGAGACTTCAGCTACGTCGCCTACACGGACACCTACTGCCAGGCATCAACGGGTGACGTCACCTGCTACGTCTTCCGACCCATGTAAATACAGTGCTGCTCTATCGTAAATTTATTACATGTACTGCCCTAAAATGCATCTCATTCCTCTCGTCTCATCTCATCTCGCAATTTGCATAGTGTGTACTAGTGATGGTATTATTCAAATCTCAAATCTAATTTGCATCCGCTTAATCAAATCTGACGGTTTGATTTGAATAAGGTTTCAGCACTTCAAATCAAATCGATTTGATTTGGGCTTGGAGGTTTGAGTTCAAATCTGAAGATTTGAACGAGGATTTGAAAGGAGTCGAAAAAATCAATAGCTCATTACGCGGATGCTAATTGTATGATGGCATGCATAATCAAGGCCATTTCCGGTTCGCGCCGGATCGGCCATAGCGATTTTCTTATGTTTTGCATGCCGGCATCTCCATAGGATTTGATTAAGGACCGGAAGCTTAATCAAATCCTCGAGATTTGATTTGAACTCGTCCACGGGATTTCAAATCAAATCCGCCGATTTGAAATTGAAATTTTTGCCTTCAAATCTTCAGATTTGAGCTCTCAGATTTGACTCAAGATTTGATTTGAATAACCCCATCACTAGTGTGTACATATTGGTGTGTTAAGTAATAAAGTGTTTTGAAAGGCATTGAGTGTCTCTCTCATCTCTCTCTCTCTCTCTCTCTCTCTGTCTCTCCTCTCGAAACGACCCGATTTCCTGTTAATTCAAATTCGACCTCGCAATCCGTTTATTCGAGGAGACCCGGAAGACCCAAAAAAAGAAGTGGGCTGGATTGGCCATACAGAGTCATGGTACGGATCAGGGGAAATATGGATTGGTGGGGGTAGCAATCCGGATCCTCGTCACAAGCAGGGCCGATCAGGCCTCCTTCTGCTGCGGAAGCTTGGCGAACGCCTCGAGCAGCTCGAACTGGAAGACAGGGGATAGTGGGTCGGCTTGGTCGTAGGCTTAGGCTTAGGCATAGGCTTGGACTTAGGTTGGGCTTAGGTTAGGTTTAGGCACAGGCTTAGGCTTAGGAATAGGCGTAGGCTTAGAGTAAGGCTTGGCGTAAATCTAGGCGATTCCGCAATCATTTCTGCTATCCCGTCCAATTCCTTACCGAATATTTCTTGTGCCAGGCGGCCTCGATGCGCTGATTCTCCAGGACGGTGTACCAGAAGCGGAGCGGGCGCAGCGCTTCCGGTAGATCCGGATGACTTTGGAGCAGGGCGACCTGGACATAAAAATCTATTTTCAGGCGAGGTTGTAGATACCCGGAGAGGCAGTGCCTCGTTGCGCTGGAACTTGCCGACAGCTGTCTCAATGAGTTCCTTGAGGGCTTCCGAGGACTCGTTGTAGCTGTTAATTAGTGGTCGATCATAATCCAGGTAAAACAGGTATAAATACCTCTTGACAATGGAGGACATATTATTGTAGAGCCAGTCGAATGTTTCCTGGCGTCCTCCGATCAGCTCGGCATACCAGGTCGTTGAATCGGGTGGTGTCAGGCCCACATTGTTGATATGGGCATCGAGAAGGCTAAAAAGTGGATCTAAGCGAGGCTTGAGCCTAAGCCCAGTTGCTCTCTCACTTTCTCTGCTTCTCTCTATCTCTCTATCTCTCACTCTCTCACTCTGTCTCTTTCTCTCGGCTTTTCTCTCTCTCTCTCTCTCTCTCTCTCTCTCTCTCTCTATCTCACTCTCTCACTCTGTCTCTTTCTCTCGGCTTTTTTCTCTCTCTCTCTCTCTCTCTCTCTCTCTCTCTCACCGTTCAACCCATTTCCAATTCTGGGATCTGATGATCGCATCAGCTAAGGCCTCCTTTTCCGTTGGGTCCGCTAAAAAGAGGAAATATCCATAGCTTTCTCTATCCTCGAAGCTACTCTCAATTTCCAGCGATTTCCACATGAAAGCAGATGTTTTCTCCCTCCTCTCATCGTCGCCACTTTCTATGGCGTGCACGTAGCCGGTCGCACGGTCCGATGTTGCGTATCTGACGCAAGACTACGAGACCGAGCATAGACTCATACTTGCTGCACTTGCTGATCATCACCCCCTCGGGACAGGCCTCGATCACCAGCTTCTCAAAGACACGCCAAGCCGGCTCGCCCTCGTCGGCCACTCGCATGCCGAGCTTCCGCCTCAGTGCTTGATCGTCCAATCTAAAAGGGCGAGGACTGTGAGTTTAGACGAATGGTAAGTACTCCTTGAAGAGGTCGAGCAGCTCCTGCTGTTCCATGGAATAACGCTGGTCTTGGTGTTGTTGTTGGCGGGCTGCAGCGATTTTCAGCCTAAATTTGATCGGTTATGAGAACTTTCCCACGTCGTTGAAAGCGTCGAAAAACTGAAGGACTTTAGGTTCAGCCCCCCCGATAATGTGAAAGCCCCAAAAAGGTGGATTGGCTTAGAGTTAAATTGGGCTTGGTTTCGTCGTAAGCACTGACTTGCGTTGCGTAGAGTTGAGCGGGATTGAAGGAAATGCCAGCGCGTTGTAGTAGCTCCTGGCATTCTGGAAAATCGGATAATTGTTCCCCGGAAGCCCACATGCAAGATCTCGAGCATACGGCGTGTCGGCGCATTGGAACGAAGTCTTTCTTCGATATTCCAGAACCCTCTTATCAGATCACTATCGGCGTTCTGATTCTAAGGTCAAACATTTTTGATAGATCGCGAGTATGCCTTGCCTGTCCCATGGTTTCCAACATTTCGAGGACCAATTTATAGGGCACAGCGCCGGTGGCCGCCATCGGGAACAAATCACTGAAGACGACAGAACGTGGTGTCACCATGTCTCGGGGCTAAAGGCACATGATAGTGAAAGAACGCAATACCTCAGTCTTGGTTTGCTGCAAAACTTCTGGCCACAGGTCTCCGTAGTTGACGCGGGCGTAGACGAGGCGCTGGTGGTTGACCAAGGGGATCTTGTCCGATTCGATGATGAGGGGGCCTAGAACATTATGCGAGAGAAAGAGAGAGAGAGAGAGAGAGAGAGCGAGAGTTGAGAACGAGAGGGAGGTAGATAGAGACCGCCGAAATTTTTGCATAATACCGACCATTAGCCGGAACAAATTGGAGCTCCTTCTGTCCCGGGTATTGAATCGGAATACGCCAGGTGCTGTAACGGAGGTCACTAATTGAAGCAATAACCATCAACTCCTAACGGATTTCGATACGTCCTCGACACGCAACGCACGCGGCGTGAAGGGTCATACGTTAGCAATATTAATCATGCGGCGCGCGCGTGCCATTAGGATGACAAAATCCTTGGAGACCTAACCGATGCCTTACCCATCCCTTTAAAATGAAGTTTTGGGATACCGACTCATTTATCCGGTCGGCATGCATCGTCTCGTCCGATAGACAGTGACGATGGGTGGTGATTGCGTATCGATTCTTGCCAACCCGAGCGACGTCGATTCGGGGGGTAGCCCGGCTGTAATTACAGGGTGTCCCAATAAACCCCCCCAGATATCGGCTCACCATCAAAATGTGGTCCAGGTGAGCTTGGACGGCCTGTTGCCACAGCCCATGCTTCTCCTCATCCGCCGCCGTCCAAATATCACGCCAGGAGGCCGTTGAGTACTTGTTCTTCTCGAGGTACGCCTAAGAGGGGAACATTCTGGTCGTCTTAGTCCTCTACAAACTACAAATCTCGCCACTCACTTTGACCATGGCGAAGAAGCGCTTCTCGCCAAGCGTCGCGTACATCGTGTAGATGCCGTAAGCCGCTTTTTGGTACGTCAATCCACCGAACATGTCGGTCAACGCGTAGCTGGTGGTCGGCTCGCGCTAGAAATGCGATGGAGTGCGTCGAAAAACTGGAGAACTTTAGGCCCAGGCTTATGCTTTAGCTTATAGTTAAGTTAGGCTAGCGCTTAGGCTTAGTCACGGCTTCGGCCGTACATTGTAGTTCCTGTCCCCGCGCGTCGCGTTCCCAATGACGATCGGCTTGAGGGGGAACGATTGGTCGCTGCCAATCTTCCAATACCAGCCGGCAATAGCATCATAGTCCTAAAAATCCACTTGGGTGCCGGAACACTCCGCGGGGAGGCATGGTTCTAGTGCAGGGAAAATTACGGTAGGTTAGAGTTCGGTTTGCCCCCCCGGCACCCACCCAACTTTTGTATCTCGGCTCCCTGTTCATCTACAGGTGTGTAAAGTATACCAAATGGTTCGAATTACTATAGCGCGTATTTTGGCATATCTTACACATCTGTAGACCAACATGGAGCCGAGGTACAGTAGGTGAGGCCGGCTGGGCGGGGGGGGGGTAAACCGAACCACAACCTTACGGTGAACTAGAAAGACTAGGAACACGTACGAGTGTAGCAAACGTATTCGATCCGTCATCACCGGTCCGTCTCTTCCGTTCGACTAACATTGGCATGAAGGTGGCGAAGCCCTCATTCAGCCACAAATCTCCCCACCACTCCATCGTCACAAGGTTGCCGAACCACTAAAAAAATCGAGCTACGACCGCGATGTCTAAGCTACGTAATGAAAAATTTCATAATGCCGAAAAAAATTCGACATTTTAAATAGGTCAAGAAAGTATGGTAAATGAAGGGCTGTACCTGGTGAGCAATCTCGTGGGCCATCACTTCTCGAATTTCGCTTGGGTCGCGGCAAGGATCACGGCAGAGCGACAGCTGGAACGGGAATTTCAGCCTTGCACAACATAGTGCGGGTCCCGAAATTCAAGTAGCATTAACAAAACGTCGCATTGTACGGCGACGCACCCTTTCTTTGAACGTCATGATTCCCCAGTTCTCCATAGCGCCGGCGGAAAAGTCGGGGATGGCAGGGTGTCTGAAGAGAAATCTTAATTTCGTTTCGGCCGCTTGGTTTGCTTCGGGTTAGGGTTACCGTGTCTGCTCACAGCGCCGCTGCGGCTGCGCAAAGCAAAGCTTGCCTAAAATTGCCTACCGAGCTTTGGTAGTGGGTATTTGACTCCGACTAGGCGTTCGATTTCTGGTAGTGCCAGGGCAGCCGCGTCAAGTGCCGTTTTTGTGTGTGACATGACCTCTTTCCGGGCATAGATGCCGATCTGCAAGAGACTGTATGCAGGAGAGAGAGAGAGAGAGAGAGAGATAGAGAGATACAGAGAGATCCTATACCACGACCAACCTTCACATTATTCGAAGCAATAACCGATTCGTAGCCAAAGTCATGGATGACGAGAGCGACGATATACGACGACATGACGGGACTCGTTTCGAATTTTGTCCGAACCCACGAGAGACCACCGTGTTCCTCGCTGAAAAATCGGTACGCTACGGTAGCTGGGAGCGTCAAATAGCAGGCGCTGGTTCGTTAGCGGGGGTCTATGACAGCATTTGACCCCGCTATTCGTTCTTACAAATTTGTAAAACGTGGACGTTAATCAGAAATTGGAAAAATAGCTAATTTTCACATTTATTTAAGTTTTTCACTAATCGGAGGTCACGAATACACTATGAACCTCAATAACGAAGCTAAGTCCCGCACCCCAATCCCCCCCGCTAACAAATCAGAACAAATTAGAATACCTGACGGGCTGCCCGTGGATGGCGGCATTTGTGGTGGCTGTAGTGTTGACGGGATGACGGACAGAGAAGCGCCAAGTGGCCTAAAAAAGAGGGTTTACGGTAGATGACAGAAACAAGGGGGCGTTTCGTTAAAAATGAATAAAACTTATCAAAAAAATCCACTATATTCGATTGTTGTAGCTCACCTTGAAGCGCGGCTCGTCAAAACACGGCGTCATCTCGCGGGCGTTCGTCACCTCGAATTGGGTGGTGGCGATGAAGCGTTTCTGGCCATCCTTGGTTTGATATGAAGAGCGGTAGAAACCGAACAGCGAACGACTGATTACGCCACGATAAGCAATCTGTAAAGCGGAGGTTTCTCATCAGTTTCTGAATTTTTGCATAACCTGGATTATGGGGGTGCCCTTGTTGATGACGTTGCTATCGGAGAGAGCCACACGATCCAAGGTGTTGTTGAATCGGATGCTGAGACGGCGGAGCTGAAGGAGAAAGAGAGTGTGGGTTAAGCCGAGACCGAGAGAGAGAGAGAGAGAGAGAGAGAGAGAGAGAGAGGGAGAGAGGGAGAGAGAGAGGGGGATAGCAAGATACCTTCCCGCCTTCCTCGATCAACGTGGCAGCCACCAGCTCCAATTTCTTGCTGTGCAGTTCAATGTGTTTTTGCGGTTCATCGACGGCCAACTAGAACGATTGATTCGAAAATTGCTGTACCATGGCAAAACTACCGTAATATTGACGATGCCAAAGAAGTCGAATTCGCGTTCTTTCGGAATTGGGGTGCCGTGGCCGGGGAGATAGACCTGCCAATTGGAATATCGCGTACACTATTCATTGTTCATCTACTCACATGCAGATCAACATCATAATGCTGCGGTCGATAGGATTCAGTCGGAATCTGCCAAGTCGGCGTCCTAAAATACGCTTGGGATTACGGTAAGGAAAAGGCGGATTACGGTAGAATTGGCGATTCCGGGTCATTCCCTCCAATGTCGATGTGATCGGGTCCGAATTCCCCTCGCAGCAGCTCATATCTGGCTACGGTATCGGCGTTGTGACTCAAAAAAAACCCTTAAAAAATCGGAATCCAGACGTACCGAATCTGTTTGTGATCTTGAACTTCCGCTCCGAGAATGACAAATATCAAAGCACCAAGGATCACTAGAAGAATTCATTGATCAATTGAATGAAACGAACTGAAGATGGCGATGAAGATGAAGACGCAGAAGATGACCAATGAACGAACCGGAGTCTGGTTCTTCTCCTTGATGGTGGGAAGACGACGGGAACGAGTACGGACACCGGACCTCGTCGGCTTCTTCGATTTGCGGGACGTCGAACGAGACGTCGAACGTCGCGTCTAGAGGGAATTATACGGAATGGGGTAAGGACGCAAGAGAGCTTACCGAAGCAGATGGAGAGCGGCGGCGCGAACGAGAAGAGCTAGACGAACGGGAAGAGCGGCGCTCAGATGATGGGGCATGCTGGAAAAATGGGTTTGTTGGTTCTTTGGCATTAGCGGGGGGGGGTGAGGGTTTTTGATTTTTTTGACTCGTTAACAGAGCCGATTTCCCTATTCCTTTAAAGCTTACCCGACTCGATTCCTCGGTGGTCGTCTTGTGCTCACTGCTGTGGAAGTTGACCGGCCAGGCGGGCTAAATGTGTCGTAATTAGCATATCAGGGCTCTTACCATGTTGGGGAAAAGCTGATGCCAAGCCGATTGGCAGGCAGCGCCTGAAGATTTGGATCTTCGAGTTTTTATCTTAGTTCCGGGATGTCGTATGCAAATTACTTGTTTTACGGAATTTTTGGCCGTGTTTCTGGCGCTCCAGGGGCTTCGAAAATTCAAAAGGTCGTCCTGTTTTGCTTTGTTGATCTTGTGCGTAACTTTTAGTATTTTTCTGGGCGTCGTCTTTTTGACGCTCTCTCTTTCTTTCTCTCTCTCTCTTTCTCTCTCCCTCTCCATCTCTCTCTCTCCTCCTCTTCTTCCCCAAGTCAAACTTTGGAAGCTTTTCCAATTCCGATTTTCCCTAATTTTTCAATTTCCGTCCACGGTAAATGGCTGGCTTTTTGGCGGCGCGTAAATACTCCAAATGACCATTTGCCGGTGAATGGAGACAATTTGTGACTGGGTTGGGGGGAGATATTTTCAGGTGGGAACGGGACGGGGAAAAGCCTCTCAAAATGGCCTCTCGACGCGATCATGACCCCCACTTTTTCTGACTACCGTAAATAGAATGTGGGAGTAGTAACAACGCCTGCTCCCTTGCATTTGTAAATTTATAATTGTTGTTTGTCACTTATTTTTAAAAGAGGTCACGCTTGCTCGTGCAAATCCGTTCGAACCTCGTTTGTCTCTCTCTGTCTCTCTCTCACTCTCTCCCAGTGCTCTCTCTCTTTTTCTCTCTCTCTATTCGACACCCCTAAAAAGCTCTCCTCCCCTCCAAAGAATTCAATTTGGCACGTTGACCTTCCCGACCCTAGGGCTCTCCCAAAAATGGAGCACCAGCCGAATTAATTTTGTTAGACAAGGGGGCGTTGGCCAATGACTGGTCGGTATGGCTCGCTCTGGCTCGTTAAAGGGACCAGCAAGGGATTGCTATGGATTTTGCTGGCCAAGGATTATCTACACACGCGACGCGTCCGCTTTCCCGAAGTTACTACAATTTTGCTGACTCATGGCGATACTTGGCGAAGAATTTTGCATGGAATTTTGAATCTGGTGATGAATTATTCCTTACCGTTACCGATTTCGTCCTTATTTTGTAATTCAGCAGTCCCTCCAGAATTCTACGCCCCTCAGAAGCTGCAGGGAAATTTCCGAATTTTACCGAGTCCCCGAGTCCCCATCTTCCCCACGCGTTCCCGAATCGCATACCCAGAAAAGGCAAAAAAAATGCACGCCGAGAACAACAGCACTGATTTGCGTGAAAGGCATTCCATTCGGGAGCGGCGAAAAAGCGAATTCCGTTGAATACGAAATTACGCTCGTGATCTGACCAATTTTGCTGATGGGGCGTAAGAGGCGCTTTTCCTTCGTACTTGAGCACTTTTTGCTCGAGGGGTTACGGTACTCAGTGAGACGCTACTCTCTCTATCCGTAGCTCTCGCTCGCTCGCTCGCTCTCTCTCACTCACTCTCTCTCTCTCTTTCTCTCTGTCCCTCTCTCTATCTCTCTCGCTATC